TCATCCCTAATCCAGTTGTTCTTGTTGTGTGCCTTTTAGGGCCCTGCCATATAAATATGGATTATCTCCTTTAAACCATATTATATGGCAGTGTAGACTCATATAATCCAATTCAAAACACATAATGTGGATCATCCGCTTTGATAATCTGGATTTTGTGGCAGTGTAGAAGGGGCCTAAGTCAACCGCAATTGATAGCAACCCTCTAGTGTTTTTCCAGCCAGATTTGTTCAGAGGACGATTGCCATTGCCTTCCACTGTTTGCCCAAGCTCACCCAGTAGATTTCTGCATCTGCACACATATTTGGACCCTGGTCTCCCAAGCGTCCTAATCCTATACATCTGAGCAAATCCTCTCTCCTAGAATCATGGAGTTAGAAGACACCTCGTGGGCCATCCAGTCCAATCCCCTGCCAAGAAGCAGGAAAATTGCCTTCAAAGCACCCCCGACAGATGGCCATCTAGTCTCTGTTTAAAAGCTTCCAAAGAAGGAGCTTCTACCACACTCTGGGGCAGAGAGTTCCACTGCTGAATAGCTCGCACAGTTAGGAAGTTCTTCCTAATGTTCAGGTGGAATCTCCTTTCCTGTAGTTTGAATCCATTATTCCGCGTCCTAGTCTCCAGGGCAGCAGAAAACAAGCTGGCTCCTTCCTCCGTATGACTTCCTCCCACATATTTATACATGGCGCTCATCATGTCTTCTCTCAGCTTTCTCTTCTGCAGGCTAAACATGGCCAGTTCTTTAAGCCGCTCCTCATGGGGCTTGTTCTCCAGACCCTTGATCATTTTAGTCACCCTCCTCTGGTCATATTCCAGCTTGTCAACATCTGCCTTCAATTGCAATGCCCAGAATTATTGGCATTGTATTATAATAGTTCCATTTCTGAGTGTATCAAAGGAGGGAAATTTTAGTTCCCTGGCTGAAGGAGCAGAGAAGATTCCTTACACAGAACTGTTCTGCAAATGTTTTCATGCCCTTTGAACCTCTTCCCTGGGGAGATACAACAGTGGAAATCACTTTGCTTCTGTAGATGGTTCTGAAAGGATTCTGAGATGCAAAAGAGTCCCGCGGGACGTGTGGACTCTAAAAAAGATTGTTTATTTCTATGTGTAGTGGGTTAGTGCTAGCAATGCCCTTCCAGGTTAGGCCAGTTTAAAACAGATCCCTTAAAAAACAAACTTAAAACTTCCTGTCTGACCTGGTCTTCATTCCTTCCTTTTAAACTGAAAAAAAATGACAATTGCTAGATAATTTTTAAATCCTTCTTTCCAGCAGTGAGGGCTGACTCTTGGACTGTCATTAGGACTGAACAAAATTTTCGAGCAAGCGTCTGGAACCTCAGCATGACCAGATAAACTTAAATTGGAAAATGATCTAGGAATGGCTAGGATGATGGAACGGTTGAGGATTTGAACAAGAAGATATTTTTTTATAATTTTTATTGTTTATTGCTTTTCTGGTTTTTAAATGTTTTGTGATGTTTTTGCTTTTTACTGATGTGTGTATTTTTATGTATGGCATCTAATTGTTGGTGACTTGTACACTGCCCTGAGTCACCTTTGTGCTCATATGGACGGGATAAAAATGACGTAAATAAATAAATACATAAATAAATAAACTAAGCAAGTGAGATTTATATATCTGTAGAATGTCCAGAGTGGGAGAAAGAATCCTTGTCTGCTTGAGACAAATGTTGCAATTGGCCACCTTGATTACCATTTAATGGCCTTGCAGCTTCAAAGCCTGGCTGCTTCCTGCCTGGGAGATCCTTTGTTGGGAGGTGTTAGCTGGCCCTGATTTTTTTCTTATTTGGACTTTCCCTGTTTTTTTAAGTGTTGCTCTTTATTTACTGTCCTTTATTTATTTAATAAAATTATTGAACATTATTATTAAACATTGACAAAATCACCATCTTTTCAACTACAAAAGGCCACCTTACATGGATTTGTGCGCATCATTCGAAAATATAACACACAATCCTAAAAGCTTGGGAAGTGTTCATCTTGTGATTTTGTGATATGAAATCCAGCATATATATCTCGTTTGCTGTGTCATAGTGTGTCTTATTTATTTATTTATTTATTTATTTATTTATTTATTTATTTATTGTATTTGTATACTGCCTTTCTCAGCCAATTGGCGACTCATGGCAGTTTCCAACAAATCAGTATACATAAAACATAAGATAAAAAACATTAAACAGTATAAGACATCACAAAAGCAATAAAAGCAACATCATAGTGTTGTTGTTGTTGCTGCTGCTGCTGCTGCTGCTGCTGCTGCTGTTGTTGTTGTTGTTGCGGGAGGAAAGAACCACAGATTTTGAGAAATGTCTGGCTTAGCTCTTGTGCGGTTCCAGCTGCAAAGTTTAGATGGAAATGCAGTGTATGGGACACAGACCTTTTCATGACAGGCCTTTCCAATGGCATGTGAATGTCACCCTTGCCTATTCATTACTTGTCAATAAAATCTGCAGTTTTGGCCATGCCAAGCTCAGGCATTGCTCTGCCACTCAGCTTACCAGCTGAAATGTCTGACAGTGAATTTCCTTCATCACACCCTCTCATTCTTGCTTTCAAGGCAGCCTTTCTTCGTAGGTTTTCTCTGGAAACCATTCCCCCGATGTATTCCCAGGCTTGTGCTGGAATCTATTTTCAACATATAGGGAACAGCCAGAAACACCAGACACTAGACAAAAGTTCAGTTTGGTTACTTCCGCAATGAAATCCTTGGCTTGGCGCTCTGGTGGTCAGGGCAGCGTTCTGCAAATGTCATTTATTGTGTGTGTGTGGTTCTAACTAAAATGTGGGTGACGGGTTCCTTAAAACCGCATGTATTTCTGAAACAAACTGCATGTCGAGCATGGGTTTTGAAAGCATGCTTTGCAGAAGCTACTACGTTTTTCAAAAGCAGCCCTATGGAGCCCCAATTCAAACTGGGACCATTATGTGAAGGAGGAGGGGTTTAACCATGTCTTTTCCTTGAGAGTTTATGTGCCACAAACCTCTTCCAGAACTATTTGTCTCTGAAGGCACAGCTTCATACAAAACATATCTGCAGTAAGGAATGTAATAGAACCGTGAACAGTACAGTTGTTTTTACTGTTAATCCCAGAATACCTCCAATAACTTTGTCATGCTAGCTGAGACACTCGGGGATTTCTGGATTGCTGTGAGTTTTCTGGGCTGCATGGTCCAGAAGCATTCTGTCCTGACTTTTCGCCCACATCTGTGGCAGGCATCCTCAGAGGTTATAAGGTCTCTGGGATTTGTTTTCCAAGAAAGGGAACTGGAAAAAGTTGCAATCTGCAAATGAAACTGATGTCTTATCACTTAAAATGTATTGTATTGATGCATCCAAAGCAATGGATGGACAGAGTCAGGAATATTTTTTTTTTCATGTCAGGAGCGACTTGGGGATGCCCAAATGTTTTGATGTTTTACTGTCCTTTTGGGAGGCTTCTCTCATGTCCCCGCTTGGGGAGCTGGAGCTGACAGATGGAGCTCATCTGAGCTGTCCCCGGATTCGAACCTACGACCAAGGGTTTAACCCACTGCGCTGCTGGGGGCAGGAAATGACAAGGGACAGCTTATCGAATGGCATAGTAGAAGAACAACAAAGCACATTCCCAAGGGGCAGCTTTTTTTTTTCTTATCCTCCAACACTGTGCATAGGTTATCCAGAGAGGGAAGGCATTTTAACGCATTTTGATAGAACTAGGTTTTGTTTTGTTTTTTTTGTTTTTACCATTCTCATCAATCTTAAGTGTTAAGAGTTCCCAATCTTTAATCTTCTTTTAAGTTGATTTATTGTTCTAATGGAAGGTTGCTTATCTGGAGTGTATCCAGCTTAAAAGCTGGGACAAAGTCTGCAGAGAGGCTAGAGATGGCTGACCTTGAGCCGGTGTCTTTTTTGTGATTGCTGTTCCCATATGGTTTTACAGAACACTAAGACAGATTTGGGCTCATGTGTATAATCCTTGATCCCTTGATACCTGGAGGGAATTTTCTACAGGTTTTAAAGCCACAAAATCAGCTTTCCTTTGCAGTTTGCTTCTGTGTTGAACTGCATTATATGAGTCTACTCTAACCATGTAATATAGTTTCAAAGTGCATTATATGGCAGTGTGAGTGGGTCCTCAGTTTCCAGGCAGGAGAATCTGGACATTGATTGTTCTGCCACTTTATATACTTGCAATAGGACTTTTTGTTTTTGTATCCTGGGTAGGTTACTAGAACCAACCACTCATCAGGTACCAAGAGTCATTATATTAGGATGCCTTGCATATGAAACCATAAACCTGCTGAACAAATATTATAATAGTCCGAAGGTTCATCTACACCAGGCATGGGCCAACTTGGACCCTCCAGGCGTTTTGGACTTCAACTCCCACAATTCATAACAGCCTCAGGCCCCTTCCTTTTCCCCCTCAGCCACTTAAGGAAAGGGCCAGAGGCTGTTAGGAATTGTGGGACTTGAAGTCCAGAACACCTGGAGGGCCCAAGTTTGCCCATGCCTGATCTACACTGTAGATTTGATGCATTTTCCCAAAACTCACAGCTATAACGTCATGGGAACTGTCACTTTATGACTTCCTTAGTCTGCTCTGCCAAAGAATGCTGATGCCAACCTTCCCGACTTCTACAATTCCATAATTATTGAGCTATGGAAATTAAAATGGTGTCAAATTGCATTCATTCTATTATTTGGGTGCACCTTAAGTTTGGGTAGCAGGGAGGGGGAGAGATCTTTAACAATTACTTATGTAAATCACAAAACATAAACAAAGTGAGTGGTGACCTGGAGCATATCATGATGGGGATCCCAATACTTTTTGACCAGTAGATTTTCAATCTGCTTTCTGACCATTAAAGAGGGCTCTTCTGCTGTTAGATGTTAGTGAGTCATAGTTGAAATTTTGAGTTTAATCTAAAAGCAGATTGGCTGTTGTGAAATAGTCTTATTCTCATCTTTTTTTTCTTTTCCTGTCTCCACATAGGACACTTTGGATGCCTATCCCTGTGGTTCAGACCATACTCCAAGTCCCATGGCCAGCCGGCTGCCACTTGGAGCCACCCCGATCCTGGAAAAACCAGATTCACGTCTCACTGCGGTGGCGGTCAGCATCGAAGATGGACACACTGTCATCTTCCTGGGGGACAGCAAAGGTCAACTGCACAAGGTAGGTAGTAAAATGTCATTTTTTCCTTATCTTATAGTGAATTGTCCTGTTGATTTTATGCTTAGTTAAATGGTGTTGATTTGTGATTTGGTTTACATATGTAAGGCATTGAATTTTGCAGTTATTTCTGTGTAAACTGCTTTGAGTCCCCCCAGGGGTGAGAAAAGCGGTATATAGATAGAACTTTATTTTTCTACCCCGCCTCCATCTCCCCGAGGGGACTCAAGGCAGCTTACATGGGGCCAAGCCCAAAGTAACATAGAGTTAAAGAAGAAATATAAAATATTAAAACAGCATAAAACAGCATAAACAATAATAAGCAAACATCACAAGCAACAACAGACTCATTTGGGGGGGGGGGGGAGGCCAATATACTAAATTAGTTAAAGAATAAGGTGGCCAATAAGGTGGATAGTACGGAATAGTAGCATTGAATTAGAGCAATTTAACAGGATCAATTCAACTTAACTTAAAAATGTAGTAATCAAATATAGGAATTAGGATTCAGGTCACTGTACATAAATAAATAAATAAATAAACAAACAAACAAATAAATAAATAAACAAATGTCATAGAAAGAAAGCAACAGCTGTATACATCAAATTTCATTCAGAACCCTTGTGCTCATGTTGCCTGGGGATTCTGAGAGTGGTAATCCAAAAATGTAGTTTCCAACAGACCTCTCAATCTCTGAGGATGCTTACCACGGATGTGGGTGAAATGTCAGGAGAGAATGCTTCTGGAGCATGGTCATATAGCCTGAAAAACTCACGGCAACCCAGTGATTCCGGCCATGAAAGCCTTCGACAACAACAAAAATGTAGTATTTGTGCACTCTGGTACTTTATGACAAAGAACTATGTTTTCATATAATTGTCAAATTAGAAAAGACTCTACGGGCCATCCATTCCAACTTGATTCTATTATGCAGAAATACGCAAAGTACTTTCAACAGAATGACCGTCCTGCCTTTGTTTAAAACCCTTAATCAAAGGAGATTTCACCGGACTCTGATGCAATTTATTCCACTGTTGAACAGGTCCTCCTGTCAGGACATTCTTCCTAATGTTTGGGCAGACTTTTCTTTCCTGTATATTACTGTTTTCACGAGTATATTAGAACGATATACATATTGCTTGTCCTGACATAAATAATCTGTGAGTCAGGCAATTACTTTCAAATATGAAGCATAATGTGTTGTCGAAGGCTTTCATAATAAATATTCATTTATTATTATTTATTTCAAACATTTCTATACCGTTCTTCTCAACCCCTGAGGGGGGACTTAGGGTGGCTTACAAATGGCAGCCATTAGATGCCAGCAACAACATCAATTACAAATCAGTTACATTATAAATTAAATAGACTCTAGGTAAACAATAGAAGTTACAAATATACAATAAAACATTAAAATTAAAACAGAGCAGGACCCAAATCACAAATCCAAGTCAGAGTCCAGAGTTCCAGTCTGGGGTCTATTCATGGTTAGTTCTCATAGGTCATTTGCATTATAATAAAACTATTTGTATACCGCTCTGTCTCCCCTAAGGGACTCAGGGCAGTTTCCACATAAGCAAGCAATACAGAAACATAGACAGGGTGGTCATTCATGGCTGGAATCACTGGGTGATTCCAGCCATGGGCTGGAATGTTAATGGTCCAGAAGCATTCTCTTCTGACATTTCGCCCTCATCTATGGCATGCATCCTCAGAGGTTGTGAAGTCTGTTGGAAACTAGACAAGTGGGATTTATAGTATATCTGTGGAATGTCCAGGGTGAGAAAAAGATCTCTTGTTTGCATGAGGCAAGTGTGAATGTTGCAATTGGCCAGATTGATTAGCATTGAATGGCTGCTTTCTTCCTGGGGGAATCCTTTGTTGGGAGGTGTTAGCTGGTCCTGATTGTTTTCTGTCTTTAATTCCCCAATTCTCCGAGTATTGTTCTTTATTTACAGTCATGATTTTGGAGTTTTCTTTAATACTGGTAGCCAGATTTTATTCATTTTCATGGCTTTCTCCTTTCTGTTAAAATTGTCCACATGCTTGTGGATTTCAATTCAATGGATTCTCTGTGTAGTCTGGCATGGTGGTTGTTAGAGTGGTCCAGTCTGTGCCTACCAAATTGCATTGAAAATTATAATTCAGAGCAAAGGGGGTAAAAGTCAAATGATAACAAACAAGTGACGGTACAAGCATCTGACTATTTGACATAATTCAATCTGCTGATCCCAGCTGGACAGGTGAAGAATTATGTAAGGCTCTCAGCAGCCCACTCCCACCCACACACCCACTGATCCCTGGAAATCCTACTGAATAACCTGATGTGACCTTTGAGGCTTCGCCTCACTATGTGTATTTGCAGCAGCTAGAGCTAGAACTTGAAGTGGAACTTGGGATTCAGCTCTAGTTTGTTGTATGCCTTCAAGTTGTATCGTAACCCAAAGGTAATCCTACCACAGGGTTTTCTTGACAAGATTTTTTCAGAAGAGATTTTGCCATTGCCTTTCTGAGAGTCTGAGAGAATATAGAGTCAGTCCCCAAGGTATGAACAAGATAAGTTCTGTAGGTTTGTTCTTAAGTTGAATTCATATGTCATTTGGAACAGGCTCATTTTTAAAGTGTAACTTCATCTATATATGTACACACACACACACACACACACACACACACATTCTAGCTTTGGTTTCCTTTTGACACAAAGTCTAGTCGAGTCCGACTCTGAGAGTCGTGCTCATCTCCATTTCTAAGCCGAAGAGCCGGCATTGTCCGTAGACACCTACTAGCTCATGTGGCCGGCATGACTACATGGAGCGCCGTTACCTTCCTGCTGAAGCAGTACCTATTGATCTACACACATTTGTATATTTTCAAACTTCTAGGTTGGCAGAAGCTGAGTCTAACAACGGGAGCTCACCCTGTTCATGGATTCAAACTGCCAACCTTCTAGTCAGCAAGTTCTACAGCTTAGCAGTTTAACCCGTTGTGCCATCGTGGCCCCTTTGGATATTGTAGGGAAGACTTAACACCCCTGTGGTGTTTGTTTTGCTGTCTGTGCCCCTGTTCAGAAGATTTCACCTCACTTTCTATCCCTGGGATAATTGAATTTTGAAAAAAAATGGCTTGATGTAGAAACAAGGACTGGTGATAAAACTTCAGTTGAGACAGCTTTCCCCCATAATAAGCCTTACAAGAGTGACTTTCCCATCCGTGGGGTAGATTTCCATCAGTTCCTGTTGTCACACCCCTGTTCTTAACTATGAAGTCAGACTTTTGTAACTTGGGGAGTGCTTGTACTCTTGCTTCAAATAATTGAGGAACCTAGGGATCGTCTACACTAACCATATAATGCAGTTTGGAGCCAAGTCGAAGGCATAGTAACCACAAACAGCACACCCCAATCAAGCCAGACAGAGCCCTTAAAAAAACTCAATGGAAAGTCTGGAATGAGCCCCAAAATGCACTACAGCTAACCATAGCATATCCCATGCATGCCTCAAAACCAGGACCTGAAAATGCACAGTGCTTGTAATAACACCCAATAGCACTGTAGCATTTGGAAAAACACTGAAATATACCTGACCAGAGGGTAAACACAACCTTGGGCAAGTGACGTGCAAGTGACTTCCTCCAGAAGAGGAAACAAAATAACTCCTATATTTTTACAATAACTGAATCTGAAATGTCAGACTACACAGAGAAGCCATTGAAATCCACAAGCATGTGGACAATTTCAACAGAAAGGAGGAAACCCTATGAGGAGCGGCTTAAGGAGCTGGGCATGTTTAGCCTGAAGAAGAGAAGGCTGAGAGACCATGAAAATGAACAAAATCTGGCTACCAGTATTAAAAACTCTAAAATTACAACAGCAAAACAGCAGAGAGGAAACAACCAGGCACAGATTAACTCCTCCCAGCAAGAGATTTTCCCAGGCTCAGGCAGGCCTTCAAATGCTAATGAAGGTGGTCAGTTGAAACATTCACACCTAGCTCCAGCAGAGAAAAGCTCTTTGCCCCACCCCAGCCATTCCACAGATATATAACCCATTGTCCTAATTCCAACAGACCTCACTACCTCTGAGGATGCTTGCCATAGATGCAGGCGAAACGTCAGGAGAAATGCCTCTAGAACATGGCTCTATAGCCCAAAAAAACCCACAAGAACCTAGTCTGATGAATGATGCTCTGAAGAAACTGCACATAAATGATAGTGTTCCTTGTCAGTTTCTGAATGCTGCAAGTCTTTGCTAAGAATTAGTGAGAGAGCACTGCAGTGGATGTACTGAGTGAGCACCACAGTGGACCAGGCCCGTAGCCAGGATTTCGATTTGGGGGGGGGGGCTGAGTCTGAATGAAAGAGGGTCTACCCTAGCAAACCTTTTGTATTGTTACCCCAATACCCCCCATGCATATGGGATATATTGAGTATGGTGATCAGATCATGATATGAATAAACAAGCCCCCGCCCCCCCCGCTACATGCCTGCAGTAGACGTCGACAGCCATTGAATACTTGTTGCCTGTGCACCATTGTGACCACTCATATTAGCAGTTCCATCATAACCCTGTCCACACAAGTAGAGCAAGTTCAGCCCAATTGCTATGATTTGTAGCAGCCTATATGTGAGAAATGTGCCCCTAGTGGCTCAGCGGGTTAAACTGCTGAGCTGCTGAACTTGCTGACTGAAAGGTCAGCAGTTTGAATCCAGGGAGTGGGGTGAACACTTGCAGTTAACCCCAGCTTCTGCCAACCTAGCAGTTTGAAAACATGCATATGTGAGTAGATCAGTAGGTACCACTTTGGTAGGAAGCTAACGGTACTCCATGCAGTCATGCTGGCCACATGACCTAGGAGACATCTATAGACAGCACCAGCTCTTCGACTTAAAATTGAAGATGAGCACCACTCCTCAGATTTGTATACAATTAAACTTCATGTCAATGGGAATCTTTACCATTACATGTGATAAAATCTTGCCATTTTTTTTGAAATAATTGCAATCTTAAACATTTCAATACCACCTGGTATAATGACTTCTCTTGTTCATAGATTTACTTATCCAAAAATCAAGTGACCCTATGCCATTTTTATAAAACTGCTCTTTGGACAAACAGTCTATTAGGCCTGGGTAACAACGGAAAAAATTGTTTCTAAAATCGATTTGTATTTGGGGGGTTTTNTTTTATTAATAATAGTCTTATCTTCCCCGTGGCCTTTAATCCACAATCTCAGTTGATCTAACAATGGTTTCAATCTGCTATTGCTCTGACTCATAGAGAATAAATGGTTTCCAAATAATCTTGAACAAATTCTCTTTTATTTCTCCACTCTGTAATCTTACTTTGTATGCTAATTTTTCAGATAAAGCTATGGCCCATATTCCGTATCAATAGATGCTCTAGTTTCCCCCCATACTTCCATTATCTCCATCCTTGCAGCACATGCCAGAATGATATAAGGTTGTTATTTGGTAGATTCTCATTTTCGTTTTCAAATATGGAGATAACATGTATTGCTCCTCTGAAGTGGACTCCCCATCCCCTCCTGTTTGGAACTGAACCCTTACTTCAGTTTGCTAGTTTTTAGACCAGTCTGTCCCCATCATTCACACTATTTCCTGGCCTGACTCTTTATCAGTTTGCACCACTGCAGTTTCTGTGGCTTCCCGACATCAAGTAATTTTGGGGTGCATCTGCACTGTAGAATTAATGTAATTGGACACTACTTTAATCACTATGGGCTCTTCCACACCACCCTATATCCCAGAATATCAAGGCAGAAAATCCCACATTATCTGAGTGTGGACTCAGATAGCCCACTTCAAAGCCAATATTGTGGCATTTTCTGCCTTGATATTATAGAACAGGCATGGGCAATTTTTTTTGCCTTGAGGCCGCATTGGTCAAGATGGCTGGGAGAGAGGTCAGCTGGGCAAGTGCTGGATGGGATGGGCCAGGAGAGGGCAGGGCAGGGCCCAGGTCATCCTCAGGTTGTCCTCCTGGCATAAGGGTGAGGCTGCTCGCCTCATCCTTACGCCAGGAGGAAAATGGGACCATGCGGCGACTGCCTCAATTCTCCTCCCCAATCCTCCTTCCTTGATCTTTGGGCAGCCCTCTTGGCGTTATGCTGGGAGGAGGACGATGCAGATGATGTCCAAGAGCACTCTGGAGGGCTCTTAGCCACTACATGCTTTCTGCTCACACCGTCCTTATGCCAGTAGGATGGCAAGACATGCATTGGCTGACAGAGCTCCAGAGGACTCTCAGCTTCTTTGTGCCTTCCTCTCCTGTCCTTTCTTCATAATGATGCAGCAGGCCACCATGTCCTTATGTCGAGAGGACAGGGAAAAAGAGGAGGGCCTGAGATAAGCCCCCAAAGGGCCACATCTAAACCCCGAGCCTTAGTTTGCCCATGCCTGTTCTAGAATATTAGGCTGTGTGGAAGGGCCCTTAGTCTTAATGATACAAAATCCTGCAATTTGTGATTTGGCAAGACCTTAGCACACTTTGTCCAAGAGGGATAAAGATCTTGTAAAACTCCAACTCCCATAATTCCATACCATTGGCAGTTAAACTGGCGTAAAACTGCATTAATGTTACAGTGAGGATGCATGCTTTGTTAACATAAAGGAATATATAGGGTTGTTTTCTTCTTCAACCATTTGTTGATGGCACCACCTAGTGGTCTTCTTCCAAAATGAAAACAAGTTTGCTGACAGATCAGATCATAAAGCCCAGATGCTGTAGAACAGGCATGGGCAAACTTTGGTCCTCCAGGTGTTTTGGACTCCAACTCCCACAATTCGTAACAGCCTCAGGCCCCTTCCTTTCCCCCCTCAGCCAGGACTGAAGTTTGTCCACGCTTGTTGTAGAACTTTAACTCAGAGAAGCTATTCCTAGGAAGCTATTCTCTCAGATCTCAAAAAAGTGTTGTTGTTGTTGTTGTTGTTGCTATTCACAGTATTCTCATTTTCACATGAGTTCTGCACCCCTAACCCCTTTGAAATACTGTAATACATTTATGGAATCATTTTCATCTAGGTACAGAAACCAATCTCTTTTATTATTGAAAGATGAAATGAGGATCTCAAACTGATTGAGTCTGTATTGCTCGCTCCCCATATTCCTCTAAATATTTTTGCCTTTTCTGGTTTGCTTCTTTTCAGGCCTACCTGGGAGCAATGGGAGACGCTCACCTCTATGCATCTCAGGTGATCCAGCCCAACAGTGCTGTGAATGGAGACCTCCTTTTCGACCAGCCCAAGGAGCATCTGTATGTCTTGACTCAGTCTATGGTGAGGACACAGATAACAGTCCTGCTTGCCCAGCACCACAACACTCATTAATACAGATGGGGAAGATGGTTTAGCATTGCAGAATACATCTGTCCTTGCAATGGTTTGTACATGGTTAGAAATGAGTCCCCACCTACACACCTCAGAGCTGTGTTTCCAACAAACACGCCCATCACAAAATTGCCCATATTAAAGGAATTTGTGGCATCAAAATATATACATATATACATATGAACATGTGATGGATGCAGATGAAAGTTTATTTTTGTTGTGGATGTGAACTGACACACAGGGCTGAAACTGTGTTATATGCCCAGTATAGACTTATATAATGCAGTTCAACAGCCGGTAGGCTCTTAGGAATTGTGGGAGTTGAAGTCCAAAACACCTGGAGGGCCAAAGTTTGCCCATGCCTGGTCTACATTGACCATATAAACTGCATTATATGACAGTGTAGATGGTGCCTCAATCCTCTGAGTCATTCCTTGAGCCTTCTGTTTATTATCATCTCTTGGAGGACACGGATGTGTATGTACTACAACTTCTGCTTTCTTTTTAAAGCAACTTTTCTGTTGGGTCTTATGGAAGATGCAGTTCTATTACCCATAGTTTTGTGGAAGGGAAGAAAGTAGTTCCCTCTTGCCTTTTATCTCAGGCCCCTTCTACACTGCCACATAACCCAGTTCAAAGCAGACAATCTGGATTTTATATAGCAGTGTAGAAGGGGCCTCAGGTAGCAGGATATGTTGAGACTGCCTATTGCCTTGGTAGCTTAAGCTGGTAATCGTACTGGCTCAGCAAGTAAAAGATTCAAGGCAAGTTCACAGGTGAACCTTTCCCATTTTGATAATTGTATGTCCTCCACATTTGGTACCCAGTGGTGCAGTGGGTTAAACCTCTGAACTGCTGAACTTGCTGACCGAATCTGGGGAGCAGGCTGAGCTCCCACGGTCAGCCCCAGCTTCTGCCAACCCAGCAGTTCAAAAATATGTAAATGTGAGTAGATCAATAGGTACCGCTTCACCGGGAAGGTAATGGCACTCCATGCAGTCATGCTGGCCACATGACCTTGGGGCATCCAGGAGTACCCTTTAGTCCCTGTATCTAGTCTCCTTTAATCCTTCTCCCTTTTTGATGGATTTCTCTCTTTGTTTTACACAAAGAGAGATGAATGTAACACTCAGTGTTGGAGACATCTATTAATCTTTGGTGTAAAGCAAGATGGAAATCCATATCAATAAAGAAAGACAACTATGCTGAGGAAACCATGCTTGTATCTCAAAGTGATCTTGAACCATTGAAGTCCACAAATTCAAGGAGGATAATAATTAATACATTTGCAGCCTTAAAGGGTTTTTCTCAGAGATTTCCCCCCACTGTGACATAAAATTAAAAACACAATGGTACAAAATCAAGCAAAAATGTAAGAGAAAGATAAAAAAACTTTAAAAATAAACATGCAGTTTGTCATGTTTAGTATATTGATGATGGACAGTTAGATTAAAACAGCTGAAAGAGAAAACTACTTTGCAATGAAAGATAGGAGATTGTCCTGCTGCTGCGTATGATGAATGAGCTGCAAATGATCAGAATTTCCCAGATTTTGTCACTCCCTCCTGCTTAAGTGGCTGCATTGGAGATTTTCAGGGAGTGCAGTACAGAATTGCTTTAGAAGGGACTTTATGGTGAAGGAGAATAACTTTCCTCTAGCACCTTTGAGGTGAACTGAGAAAAAGACATTTTGAGCATAAGTTTCCAGGCCATGTTATCAGATGCCTTTGTTAAAGAATATGCTAGAAATTCTTTTTTCTCAGCTAATCTTAAAGAAAATATATACATACTAGCTTGGGTGAATTAAACTCACATCATGCCAGGTTAACCCTGAAAAACACCATCAGTACTTAAAGTTTGTTATGTTGGGCAAGATTGCTCTAGATGCATCATTGATGGGGTTCAATGTGCTCTTTGGCTGTAGGGTAAACTGCAACTCACACTATGGTGAGTCAGTCTCCTCAAACCTCTCCAGTAGGTTGAGTTAGTCATGGGAGTTCTGTGTGCCAAGTTTGGTCCAGGTCCATCATCGATGGAGGTCACAGTTTCTCTGGTTGTGGGTGAACTACAACTCCCAGAAAGGAAGGTCCATTCCCCCCAAATCCCTCCAGTAACCAGATTTCAACATATCAGTTATGTGTGCCAAGTTTGGTCCAGATCCATCAGGGTTTGGGTTCACAGTGCTCTCTGGATGTAGGTGAACTACAACTCCCCCAAATCAAGGTGAATTTCCCCAAAGACCGCCAGTATTTTTTGCTGGTCGTGGGGGCTCTGTGTGCCAAGTTGGTCCAATTCCATCTTTGATGGAGTTCAAAGTGCTCATTGATTGCAGTGAACTATAAATCCCAGTACCTACAACTCCAAAATGCCCACGCCAATTCCCCTCAAAACCCACAAGTATTCAGACATGGGCATATTGAGTATACATGCCAAGTTTGGTCCAGATCCATCATAGTTTGGGTTCATTCTGCACTCTGGATGTAGGTGAACTACAATTCCTATAAATTCCTCCAAAGACCTCCAGTATGTTTTGTTGGCTATGGGAGTTCTGTGTGCCAAGTTAGCTTCAAGTCCATCATTGGTGGAGTTCAGAGTGCTCTTAGATTGCAGGTAAACAATACATCCCAGTACTTTCAACTCCTATAAATTATGGTGAATTATTTTCAAACCTCTCGATGTGACCTCCATCGATGATGGACCTGGACCAAACTTGGCACACAGAACTCCCATGACTAACTCAACCTACTGGAGAGGTTTGAGTTTCTGATCAATTCAGTTGCTGATCAATTCCTCTGTTTACTGTGTGCCATAGAAAGGGATTGGAAAGGGTTAAGGGAGAGACGGTGGGCAGGGTCATACAAATTCCACACCAATGGATAGAGTCAGATGTCTGTGGTGGAGGAAGCACTTTAAATCTAGGATGGAATTTTCCTCATATGAAAGCCTTCCCTTGGGTGGTGGGCAGGATTGTGTTGGTGGAGGACATTGACAGGGCTCTTGTATATGTTCATGGAGCTTGTCTGTGTAAGTGGACACCTCTGCCACACACACACACATACATTTTTTCACTTTTATTATGTGTATAGATGTTGCAGGATTCCTTTGTATGTTGAAAAAGACTAACACAGCTATCAATTTAAGATTAATAAATATTTTTTCCTGGCACAGTCTAAAAGGGCTGCCGCCTTGGAAATGAACAAAATAGGAAACACTTTATACGCTACCTTATGTTTATATGCAAGCCAGCCACCGGGAAGTACTGTAAATGCATATAAAATAGGCTGGGGACTGGGTTGCTTTGGGTTGTGTATGTTTTATCTTACTAGATGGTTCCTCAATCATAAAAATGGTTCAGACAATTAAGAAAGCCTGACGAAAAGCAGACGGCTGGCTGGGAGGAAAAAGATCCAGCAGATGGGAAATGTCCAATAAGACAAAGAGCTTGGTCGGGCACCGCACCGCAGCCCCGGCTATCTCCCCATCTCTCCCAGCCTAATGTCGTTTATCACTGTCGTTTCTTTATGAGCTCTGCACCGGGCTTCTTTCCATGTGACTATGCCCTGTCTAAGCCAGCTGGGAATTTCAGAGGTCACAACAAATACTTCCATCTTAGCGACTCTCCTCCCACACCGGTATCCCCAACATTGCTCTGCCAGTCATTTCCCCTCCAACATTGCCAGACATTCAAAATTTCCTGCTGCTTTGGACGTTTCCCTATCAGAGTTGGGTTTATTCCTTACTATTTCATCCAAGACTTGTGTGTCTAGCCAACACATCTGTTGGTTCAATACTGTATATTTGGGTCATCCATTTTAAAAAAAATGCAAACAGGTAACTTTCGAAAGAAATGTACTTTTCAAAGCTGTAAATGACAATCATCCCCATTCCCATGTCCCTTGAGTGTCTATATTGGGATTTTAAATTAAGTAAATTAAGTAAATAAATAAAATAAGAGAACAAGTGAATCATGAATCAATTGGGGCCAGCTAACACCTCCCAACAAAGGACCACCCAGACAGCAATTAGCCAGAGTTTGAAGCTACAAAGCCACTAAATTCTAATCAAGGTGGCCAATTGAAACATTCACACTTGCCCCAAGCAGACAAGGATTTTTTCTCCCACCCTGGACATTCCACAGATATACAAACCTCACTTGCCTAGTTTCCAGCAGACCTCACAACGTATTGTTGAAGGCTTTCATGGCCAGAATCACTGGGTTGTTGTAGGTTTTTTGGGGCTGCATGGCCATGTTCTAGAAGCATTCTCTCCTGATGTTTCACCTGCATCTATGGCAGGCATCCTCAGAGGTTCTGAGGTCACAAATTCCTCCGTCTTAGCATTTATTCATTTTTTAGTACTTCTGCAAACCTTGAACTTTCCCCAAGCTTGCTACATCACTAGAAAGTGATGTCATTTTAGGGTTCATCTGCACTGTAGAATAAATGCAGTTTGACACCATTTTAACATCCATGGCTCAATGCTATGGAATCATGGGAGTTATAGTTTTACAAGTTATTTGACCTTCACTGCCAAAGAATGTTGGTGCTTCACCAAACTTCACCAAAGGAGCCCCTGGTGGCAGAGCGGGTTAAACCCCTGAGCGCACAGGACTGAAGAGTCGCAGGTTCGAATCCCAGGAGAGCGTGGATGAGCTCCCTCTATTACCTCCAGCTTCCCATGCGGGGACATGAGAGAAGCCTTCCATAAGGATGGTAAAACATCTGGGTGCCCCCTGGGCAACATCCTTGCAGACGGCCAATTTTCTCACACCACAAGTGACTTGCAGTTTCTCAAGCCGCTCCTGACCTGGAAAAAAAAAACCAAACAAACTGCAAATCCCAGGATTCTGTAGCATAGGTTTCCTTAGCTAGTAAAATGTGGATCATGTCCCACACCTTCTGAGCATGATACTACTAATGAATAACGCACTGTGTATCAAACATCAGGGTTGCATGATTTTATGGAGCATTTCACATGACACACATAAATATGAATTGCGGGAATCACTCATGATAACAATAGAGATTTCACATAATGCGAAAGAAATGTGGCTATCTTTGGCTTCCATATGACCAGCTATTTCTTTATCTCTTTTTGCAGGTATCCAAAATCCCCATATTCGAATGTTCTCTGTACTCTGACTGCGAGTCATGTTTGGCACTGAGGGACCCATATTGTGGTTGGTGTGTTCTCCAAGGAAAGTAAGAACCCATTTTGATACATCATGGTGTGCTGACATGTTTTCCTAGCTAGGGACACCACTGGTAGCCCCCAAATCGGACCCAAGATATGCAATGGCTATCATTATGGGATGAGCTCCCCTTATCTGGAATTCCCAAATCAAAAATACTCCAAAAACCACAATTGTTTTTCAGGTAGCTGAGATAGTGACAACTTTGTTTTCTGGTGGTTAATGTACACAAACTTTGTTTCACACACAACATTATTAAAAATACTGTGTATAAAATAACTTTCAAGTTATGTGCATAGAGTTTATATGAAACATTTGTATTTAGGCATAGTTCCCATATCTAGGACACCTCATTCTGCATGTATAGGAAATACAGGTATTCCAAAATATGAAATAATCTGAAATCCAAAATATTTTAGATTTCAAGTATTTTTGGATAACGGATATTCAGCCATTATTATTATTATTATTATTATTATTATTATCACATTATTTATATATCGCCCTTCTCCCCATGAGGACTCCAAGCAGATTATAGTATAAACAGATACCAGCAAACATGCAGTGCCTTGTTACAACACAATGAGACACACAAACATAAACAAAGGCAAAGGCTTTTCCTTTTTTTTCTGGCTTTGGAGGCAATATTCATCTCTGACTCTGGGGGAGGTGATGTTCTCCATTTCCAAGCCGAGGAGCCTGTGTTGTCACCTTCTGGTCATATGGCCGGCATGATGCTTGGAGCGTCTTACACCTTTCCTGCTGAAGCAGCACCTATTTATCTACTCACACTTGCATGTTTTCGAACTGCTAGATTGGCAGGAGCTAGGGCTGACAGTGGGAGCTCACCCTGTCCCACGGATTCAAACTACCAGCCTTTAGGCCGGCAGTTCGGCAGCACAAGGGTTTAACCCATTGCCCCACCACAGCCCCTAGTAGTAGTACTACTACTACTGTTATTTTCTCACTTCGTAGCCCTCATCCTTAAAAAAGATCAGAGGTATTCTTAATCTTACATTTGCCCAGTGGATACATATAAAGGGAAAGGAGTAAAAGGCACTGGTTTGTTTCTCTGTATGAAGATGATTCTGCCTCACTGTTAGAAGCAAAGTCTTATTAACTGTTGCAGAAAGAATGACTTTTGCTCCAGTGTTGTGGGAAATAATAGTGTTCTTGTGCATCATCTTCTCTATAAATAAAAATGTAATATTCGTTTGTGGGATTAACATAACTCAAAAACCACTGGATGAATTCACACCAAATTTGGACACAAGACACGTATCAGGCCGAGTGACTATCACTCATAAAAACACCAGAAAACACAGCAGAAGAGACTTTAAAAGCAAATAAAAATACAACATATGCGCATAACCACATATATGTACTTATACACAAATATATACACACACATATAGACATATATATACACACAAAACGCATATGCACAGACTGGCCCACAGCAATGCGTGGCAGGGGACGGCTAGTCCCTAATAACAATGTTCTTCAGTAAATACTTGCAACACCAGAGGCACTCCAAGTGGCCAGCTACTGGTCAAAGGACATCAAATCAACTACCAAGCTTGCAAACTTTGTGTTTTGTTTGTTTGTTTGTTAAAAATGCAATACAACTGTTTGGTTTGCTCCTGACACGATAAATAAATAGTAAATACCAACAAGTTTGTTTTCAACCAGTAGTACCAGAACAACTCTGTATCATGACACAGTTCTGTTCTCACACAGTTGGAGTTTGGTTGACAATACTTCTTCAAAAGGGGATTCAGAGGAAACCAATGTATCTCATCCCACTTTTGTTGCCCACGCTTGCTCTCGCGTGTGGGAGTCTTGTGTATACACAGAACATTTTATACAGGAAGCAAATTATGAAGCTCCTTTAAATTCTCAATTTGATTCTTCTTAATAGAGGTTGGCCGGAGGTCTCTTCTCTAATTGAGAAAGAGCAAATTAAAGACTTCCTCCTGCCACTTAAGGTCACGAAAGGTCCCTACTCATCACTCAGTGGTAACAACCTCTACTTGGAACTTTGCAATGATGAGTCAATTCATTGAACAGAGTTTGTAACAACAAAAGAAAAAAAAATGTTCCCTAGAAACTTTGTTTCCTTTTGTCACATACATCAGCCAACAAAAGTTTTCCATGCCTGGATCCAGAATTATGTGAGGACTACCGCCTTAGGGATACTGCCTTCCCCTTTGAAAGGAAATGCTTCTGTATCCATCAACTGGACAATTTCAAATATTTTGGAAGAAACAGATTATCTGAAATCATTTTGGTATGACCCAAACCAGGGTACAATACATGTACCCTATGCATGGCAGGAGGTTGGACGAGATGGCCTACGTGGTCTCTTCCAAATCTATTATTCTATGATTCTATGAATTCTGAATGCCCTTGAAAGACAAGGGGAATGCTACCTTGTTGATCTTTGATCTCTCAGTGGCTTTTGACCATGATTTTTCCCCTAGACTATTTCTGAGAGATGAGAGTGGGAGGCAGTGAATTATACTGGTTTTCCCCTATCAGTTTCAGACATTGCAGAACTTTAATTCATCCCCATGGCTCTTCATCTGTGGGTGCAACAGGGTCATCCATGCTTTTCAGTATCTGCCTAGAGTGGCTGGAATAGGTCATCAGGAAATCAGAGTTGGGTCCCTTTAGTTAGTATATTGATGGCTTTGAACTCAAGCTTTCTTTGACAGCCTGGTGAGGTTATGCAGATGCTGGAACAATACTTCTGCAATGTATTGTCGAAGGCTTTCACAGCTGGAATCACTAGGGTGTTGTGTGGTTTCCGGCCTGTATGGTTGTGTTCTAGCGGATTGCGCCTCTACTAAAGCAGCTCCAGTGGTGGCCGATAAGCTTCTGATATCACCTACAAAGCCCTAAATGGTTCAGGCTCTTCCTATCTTCGTGGCTGTATTTTCCCCTATGAACCCGCCCGGGCTCTAAGATCTGCCAGAGAGGCCTTCCTCTCCACACCAGTCCCAAGCCTGGCTGGTGGAGACGAGAGAGAAAGCCTTCTTGGTAGTGGCCCCCTGCCTCTGGAACTCCCTCCTCAGGGAGATTAGATTAGCCCTCATTCTATCTGCCTTTCGGAGGAACTTTTGTGTGTGTGTATGTCAGGAGAGACTTGCGAATCTGCAAGTTGCTTCTGCTGTGAGAGAATTGGCTGTCTGCAAAAACGTTGCCCAGGGGACACCCAGATGTTTTTTTGATGATTTATCATCCTTGTGGGAGACTTCTCTCATGTCCCCGCATGGGGAGCTGGAGCTGACAGAGGGAGCTCATCCACGCTCTCCCTGGATTCGAACCTCTGACCTGTTGGTCTTCAGTCCCACTGCACCACCGGGGGCTCCTCCGTAAGCACTTGAAAACCTGGATGTTCCTGTGTGCTTATGAATGATAGCTTAGCCCCTGATCATGACTGTCCCCAGTCCTAATTTACTGATAAGGTTTATCCAGCGCTTTACCCCAGCCCTGGCCCCATAGTCTGCGTTTTGCACTAGTCCTTGCCCTGCCATCTCTAATCTGATTTTGCCCACAATACTCTGGTTACTGGTGGTTGAGGCTGGTTTTGATACATCTATGATGTTTTTATACCTTGCTGGTTTAAATTGTTTAATTTAGATTGTTCATATATTATTATGTTTTTAAATTGAGTTTTGTTTATGCTGGGCTTGGTCCCTATGTAAGCCGCCCCAAGTCCCTTTGGGGAGATGGTGGCGGGATATAACAATAAAGTTCTTATTATTATAGCAGCATTTTCTCCTGACATTCCACCTGCATCTATGGCTGGCATCTTCAGAGGATCTTCTGAAGATGCTAGCCGCAGATGCTGGTGAAACATCAGGAGAAAATGCTGCTAGAACATAACCATACAGCCCAGAAACCGCACAAACGACACTTATACAGTTTAATAGATTGGGTAAGAACCAATGAACTACAGCTGAATCCCTAGTAGTCAGAGGGTTTGAACTGGTGCTTTCTAGGTCAATTGTGAAGGAGCAGGTTGATAGTTTAGGAGTACTCCTAGTTTTGTCTCTTCACTGGAAGCCCATGTGCGCTACCCTGAGAGTATAATAATAATAATAACAATAATAATACACTTTTTTATATTCTACTCTATCTCTCCAAGGGGACTCAGAGCAGATTACAGTATACAGAAATACATGCAAATATTCAATGACTTTTATACAGTGAACAATAATGACATACAACACACAAAAAGGCAAAGGTTTCCCTTTCCATTTCCAGCATCTGGAAGCGATGCTCAACTCTGGCCATGGGGAGGTGCTTTTGTTCCATTTTCCATGCCAAGGAGCCTATTGTGTGTAGACCCTCTGATCATGTTGCTGGCACGGCTGCATGAGTGCCTTTTACATTCCCGTCGAGGTGGTACCTATCTACTTACATTGCATGATTTTGAACTGCTAGGTTGGCAGAAGCTAGGGCTAATAGCGGGAGCAATGCAAACTATGCCCTGGAAGATTACTTGGAAAATATTTAGAGCCTAGTACTTCCATCCTGGGAAAAAAGTGTAGTAATGCAATAGGCGTGGTCCAGTGGGCGCTTACAGCATTCCTCCAACTACTGGGCTTTCTTTTTGATCACGTTCAGGTGATAACAGCCCTTCACTTTCTTTCCCGTGTGTGTTTCTCTCCAGATGCAGCCGTCGCTCTGAATGCTTCAGGTTCCAAGTGAGTGAGCAGTGGCTCTGGGGCTTCAACTCAACCCAACAGTGTCTGTCCGTCCAGTCAGTGACCCCCGCCAGCATCAGCCGAGAAGTACAGAAAAATGTAAGCTATAGCAATGTGTGAAATCCCGCTTTGAAGGCTGAGAAATTGTCTTGCAGGAGCAGCTGCTATTTGCCCTCTGGGGACAGGAGAAGTGTGACTGACTTGCCCATCACTTGAGGTTTTTCATGCTTCCCATTTGTGAAGAGAGAACATTCACACTTCTGGCTGTCAACCCCTTTTCTGTTATACGGAGTTGATCAAAGTTGAAGGGCTGGAAACGTTTTGGAGAATTCCCTTGAAGAAGGAAAGGAGACAAGCATAAGGTTAGGCGTGCAGGTGTCAAGATTCCTTTTATTTAAATTAGCACCATTGCTGTGCGTGGTGCTGAATGAAAATAAAAAGACACATCTCTGTCAGTAGAGTACAATTTAAGTAAAAGGAGAATATGGCGAAGGAAATGAAATAGTCTAGCTTTGCAAATACTGATTAAGCTAAATTATGGGAAAATAAATAAATAAATAAATAAATAAATAAATAAATAAATAAATAAATCCAGACTTCTAAAAGCTTTAGGAAACAAAAAAAGGTTTTAACTGAGTTTTAAAATGGTGAGAAGATCACATTGTAATCTAATCCATAATTATAGATCAGGTATGGGCAAACCCAAGCCTGGGGACCAGATGCAGACAGACCCTTGGGCTCTTTTCTCAGGCCCTCCTCTCTCATACCATCCTATCCTTCCTTCCTTCTCTCTTTCCTTCCTCCTTCCCTCCCTCCCTTCCACCATTTCATTCTTCCTTCCTTCCTTTCTTCCCTCCCACCTTCCCTCTCTCCCTCTTTCTCCTTCCTTCCTTCCTTCCTTCCTTCCTTCCTTCCTTCCTTCCTTCCTTCCTTCCTTTCTTCCTTCCTTCCTTCCCTTTTGTCTTTCCTCCCTCCCTTCCCTTTTGTCTTTCCTTCCTTCTCTCTTTCCTCCCTCCCTCCCTCCTTCCCTTCCTTCCTTCCTCTTTTTCCTTCCTCCTTTTCTCCTAGAGGATGTTTAGCTGGAAGAAGAGAAGGTTTCAAGATTTAAAAGGTTGTTCCATTGAGGAGGAGGGCTGGGGAGAACGGGACAACTTTCTGCTACTCTAGAGACCAGGGCACAAGGGAGCAATGGTTTCAAAAAGCAGGGAAAGAGAATCGACTGAAAAGATTAGGATGAACTTCCTGGATAATAGTCTAGGCTGCCTCGGGTGTGGTGAAGTCTCCTTCTCTGGAGGCTTTTCCATAGAGGCTGTCTATCGGGAGTGCTTTGATTGTGCCTTCCTGCATGGCAAGAAGCGGGTCTCTTCCAGCTCTAGGAAGAGTGGAAGCAATGGCATATTTGCTTACCTAATAACTTCGGTGCTGGCCTATGGAGACCTAATGGATACACTTTTTATCTCACGTTCACCATCTCATCCTGACCAAGGCCAATCCTTTTGGGATCCAAACATTTCCTGTCTTTCTTTCACTTTCTGCTTCCGGAAGGGAAGATGAAGGGGAGGAAAGGGCAAGGAAAGAGCTTGGGGAGAACCCCCTCCCTCACAGCCCACCCACCAGGCTCTGGCCCACCATGGGGCCCCCAAGTTAGAAAGTTTGCCCATAAACTTTCCTAGATAAAGTTGCCCATAAACTTTTCTAGATAAAGAACAATTGATAATCTGGTTTAGTAAAAAAAATCTGACAGACAGTGATTTATTCATCCCCAACTGATTCAGCAGTGCAAAAAATGTGATTTTTTTATTTATTACCTGATAACACCCTTTAAAGCAGCAATGACTTCAAGTAAAAAATGTAACAGACAGTCTTTCACATTGAATTTGAGGAATTTTTGCCCATTATTCCTTGCAGAACTACATTAGTTTAGTGACATTTGAGGACTACTTTGTATGAACTTCAGGTGTTGCCACAAATTTGTATTCCGATTTTAGCAAGGTCATTCTAAAACACGAAGCTTCTTCTGCTACACCCATTCCTTAGTAGACATCCTTGTATATTTGGAGTTACTGTTAGATTGCATTGCCTGTCACACCCCAGCCTCAAGCCACCTATGACCATAGCATCACACCAGAGTCCAGAGTAAAAACAAACAGTTTATTGCAAATACACACAAAAGATATATAGTAAAAATGCAGAGATAAGGAACTAAGGTGTAGAATCCAAAAAGTCAGCAATCAATTGTCTCATATAAATCCAAAAGCAATAAAGTCCAAAGATAGTCCCAAAATACAAAGGCCATAAGCAAAACTTGAGCAAGAATACAAAACAAGAACATGGAGAACTCCCAGAAAACTTAAATCTAAAACCAAGACTTGAAACAAGAACTAGAGAACCCAGGCCTAGCTGGACTTGAAAGCCATGTTGCCTGAACTGAAATCAGAGTGCCCATGAGCTCGTAATAAACAGACATGAAACCATTATGTCTACCCCCTGGAATTTCTGCTTCCCAAGAAGCTGTGTTGATTTACGAAGCTGGCTATCTGCTCTAATCTGCAAGTGTGCTTCCTTGCTTAGGTCAGTATCACCAGGTGCTTTCCCATGATAATTTCTCATCAATTTGTCTTTGTGAGACTCCTTATTTAGAGAGGATGATTCCGACTCCTGTGACTGGCTTTGAGGTTCAGAGGCAATTACATTCTCAGGGCCTGCATCTGTGCCTGCATCCCTATCTGAAATGGCTCCACTTTCTTGGCCTGCATCAGAATGAATCCCAGGAAAGCCCACAATCCCGTTTGACTCTAAGTCATCAGCTCCTTGTTGTTGTGACTGCTGTTGAGTTACAACATTGCCCTCTTTGGGGTTCAGCTTCAGCTCTTAGATCAGTGTTTCTCAACCCTGGGGGTCTCGCAAGGGGGTGTCATAGGGATCGCCAAAGACCACCTGAAAACACAGTATTTTCTGTAGCTCATGGGGCTTCTCTGTGGGAAATTTGGTCCAATTCTATCATTAGCAGGGTTCAGAATGCTCTTTGATTGTAGGTGAACTATAAATCCCAGCAACTACAACTCCCAAATGTCAAGGTCTATTTTTCCCAAACTCCACCAGTGTCCACATTTGGGGATATTGAGTTATTGAGTATTTGTGCCCACTTTGGTCCAGATCCATCATTATTTGAGTCCACAGTGCTCTCTGGATGTAGGTGAACTACAACTCCAAAAACCAAGGTCAATGCTCACCAAGCCGTTCCAGTATTTTCTGTTGGTCGTGGGAGTTCTGTGTGCCAAGTTTTGTTTAATTCCATCGTTGATGGAGTTCAGAATGCTCTTTGATTTTAGGTGAACTATAAATCCCAGAAGCTGCAAGTCTCAAATGACAACATCAACCCCCCCCCCCTCCTCAATTCCACCAGTATTCAAATTGGGGTATATCAGTTATTTGTGCCAAATTTGTTCCAGTGAATGAAAATACATCCTGCCTATCAGATGTTTACATTACAAATCATAACAATAGCAAAATTACAGTTATGAAGTAGCAAAGAAAATAATTTTATGGTTTGGGGCCACCACAACATGAGGAACTGTATTAAGGGGTTGTGGTATTAGGAAGGTGGAGAAACACTGCCTTAGATGGATGGCCCCAACATGTTTCAATATTTGAAAGGCTGTCACATTGAGGATGGGCAAGTTTGTTTTCTGCTACTCTAGAGACTAAGACATAGTGCAATGTATTCAAATTTCAGGAAAACAGATTCCACCTAAACATGAGGAAGAACTTCCTGACAGTAAGAAATGTTCAACAGTGGAATATATTGCTTCCTCAAAGTGTGGTGGAGTCTCATTCTCTGGAGGCTTTTAGGCAGACACCGGATGGCCATCTGTTGGGGGTGCTTTGATTCTGTTTTCCTATCTGGCAGAATGGGGTTGGACTACATGGCCCTTGGGATTTCTTCCAAATGTACTATTCTGTGGTTCTATGGCCTGACGTAATCATTCAAAATCATCTGATTCACTGCAGAATTCATGGTTGTGCCCATAATGGCAAGCAATCCAGATCTTGAGGCAGCAAAGCGGGCCAATATAATCCATCTCTTCATGAGGTTCTTCTCAACTCAGTAATTATCACCTACGGCAATGTTTCTCATTGAGGCCAAAAGCTTTTGTCTGTCTCCAGAGAATGGCGGGGGCTCCTTCTTTGGAGGCTTTTAAGCAGAGGCTGGATGGCCATCTGTCAGGGGTGCTTTGAATATGATTTTCCTGCTTCTTGGCAGGGGGTTGGACTGCATGGCCCACGAGGTCTCTTCCAACTCAATGATTCTATGATTCTAATATCAGCCCTATCCAACAGACATCAAACACAGAGATCCTATGACAGCTTCAGTCCAGTAACCTTTGGAAAGGCACACTGTACTTATCCTTATCTTGATAATTCTGCTCACTTAAGTGTTTGTGATTTTCTCCTATCACACACAGACGCATGCACAATTAATCTTCCTTCCTTGTCCTCTAGTTTTCAAAGGGGAGGTGCTAATTAAGGGTGAATATTTCTTTGTAGGACAGGTTATTGATCTTTCTGTTCTTTGATTGGCAGATACTCTTGACTCTTTCGGATTTGCCAACCCTGCAGAATGGGGAGTCGTATTCATGCTTCTTTGAAGACTATGAAAGCCCAGCAGTGTGGATGGGGTCAGGCATCATGTGTCCCTCACCAGATCCCAGCCATGCACCAATTTTGAAAGCAGGAACAGGTGAGTGGCTCGACTAGAGATTTAACCTTGGGCTCCGCATTCAAATGTCAAAGGAAGGAAGGTTTCTGCAGGAACTCTGGTTTACAAAATATGGACGTTATATTAGCAGATGGCAGCCAGAAATCAGGAGGCGCTTACTTCTTGGGAGGAGAGCAATGTCCAATCTCGATAAAATAGTGAAGAGTAGAGACATCACACTGGCAACAAAGATCCGCATAGTCAAAGCAATGGTATTCCCCATAGTCACCTACGGATGTGAGAGCTGGACCTTAGGGAAGGCTGAGCAAAGGAAGAGAGATGCTTTTGAACTGTGGTGTTGGAGGAAAGTTCTGAGAGTGCCTTGGACTGTGAGAAGATCCAACCAGTCCATACTTCAGGAAATAAAGCCCGACTGCTCATTGGAGGGAAGGATAGTAGAGACAAAGATGAAGTATTTTGGCCACATCATGAGAAGAAAGGAAAGCTTGGAGAAGACAATTATGCTGGGGAAAATGGAAGGAAAAAGGAAGAGGGGCCGACCAAGGGCAAGATGGATGGATGGTATCCTTGAAGTGACTGGATTGACCTTGAAGGAGCTGGGGGTGGTGACAACCAACAGGGAGCTCTGGCATGGGCTGGTCCATGAGATCACGAAGAGTCAGAAACAACTGAACGAATGAACAACAAATTAGCAGTCACTTTACTGATCAATCCCACTTCTGGTAGGATAATATCTATTTTGTAAATAATATTTAGACACAGGCAAAATGTCAGGAGAGAATGCCTCTAGAACATTGCCATATAGCCCAAAAAAACCCTACAACAACCCAAAGTTAAGACAATAATAGGTTTCCTTTAAATCCGGTTTCTGCCTCCTGCAGAATTCTGGGGTCTGTAGTTTAGTGAGGCTGTTATAGGCTCCTTCCTAAACTACACACCCCAGAATTCTGCAGGAGGCAGAACCCAGATTTTAAGTGGATTCATTCTCTAGTGGGATGATGGCATTAGTTGAAATATATTGCATCAAACACTGCACAATGTGTTCTGTTGGCAGGGTCTGCACCACTTTGATGTAATTCCTACAAAATGTTGTATTTTGACTATCTCTGTGTTTGTTCTCTGACAACTTGGGAATGTGTTGGGCTTCGTCTTCATCAGCCATAGCTAGCGAGGTTAACTCAACCATATATGGGGAAACTGCACTTTCCTCACTTATGTGTCCCTCTCTGCCTCTCATTCTCTGGAACTGAATTGTGTGAGTGTTGCTATTGAAGAATGGTTGAAGGATCCTTTCCTTTCTTTCCATTACAGACCACATAACCATTCAGCTGGTGATCCGCTTCCGTGATGTTTTCATTGCTTCAACATCATTCTCCTTCTATGATTGCACAGCTGTGGCGTTTCTGCGGAAATTGGCACCGTAAGGCTCCGAGGAAGACCTCTCTCTCCCCTTGACCCTTTCCCTTGCATTGCAATTGCTTCAAAGCTATTTTTTGATCTGCTGATCCTCCTCAGCAACTGTGCTGTTGTATTTATTTGCAGGTGCCAGGGGTGTGTGAGCAGCCATTGGGGTTGTAACTGGTGCGTCCATCAACATCTCTGCACACATAAAGCCATCTGCGAGGAAGGAGCCATTATCTACAATGAGAGGGTGTGTCTGTCAGTACTCATGTCTGCCATTCAGTCTGTTGAATTCCTGACAGATTCAAGTGTAGGAGGCACGGTTGGGGCGGGGGGATCTTGCTTCCATGGCATTTCAGTACTATAAGTCTGCAGAACCGTCTAGAAAATTACTGCTTTGGATTCATGTCCACCTTCCACTCTCATACCCTGCCCCTTCTGTCCAAAGACATTCTTGCTGCTGCAATCATCACATTTACTGTTGCAAAAAACTTCCAAAACAGGATAAGTTTTTATTTCTGACTGAGATGTGTGTCTCGGGTTCCACTTGTGACCTTTGGAAGCCTTCCATTAGCCTCTCTGAGTCTCCCAATTTTCCACTTAAAAACGTACCATTTGGTAAGAAACATTGCCTGAAAATATAAAGAAAGCCTTGAAATATCCCCACGCCACAAGCACCCATACCCTTGTACAAGCCCTTGTTTTCCCCACTACCCGTTTCATTCATTCATTCATTCATTCATTCATTCATTCATTCATCTATTTATTTATTTACAGTATTTATATACTGGGTTGTTGTAGGTTTTTCAGGCTGTGTGGCCATGTTCCAGAAGCATTATCTCCTGACATTTCGTTTGCATCTATGGCAGGCATCCTCACAACCTCTGAGGACTTCACAACTTCTGAGGATGCCTGCCATAGATGCAGGCGAAACGTCAGGGGAGAAAGCTTCGAGAACATGGCTATACAGCCCGAAAAACCTACAACAGTCCTCTTTCTGCTTTGGTCATATTCTGGCTCTGATTGGTGTTTTATTTGCTCCTTTTCACTCTTCCAGGCTCAGACACCAAGCATCAGCCCATTCCTACCTTCAGCCACTCCATACGCAGCAGAATCCCCTTCGCCTTCTCCAGATGTAGCTACTGAACCCCCTCTCCTCCCAGCCACAGCTGTGCCAACATCTGCTCCAAGTCCCACCACCGAAACAGTTATCCCTCCCACCACACTGCCCCCAACTACCCTCAGGACTACCTTTCAGCCAGAAACCCTCGGTTCCACCCATGTGCTCTCAACAACCATAGACGCTGGCACTACCTTGGAAGCAACCACAGGCTCCCCAACACTGAGCCCAACTGAAGTGCCTGCTACTACTCCACCTACCTCTGAGCCTACCTCCAGCAGCGAACCAGAGACCTCTGGCCCCGTGACACACTCTACCTCACAACCTGTTATTGAAACTGAAGGCTGGTCAACTATTGCTTCTTTGACTACTCCTCATAACACATTGCAGCCTTTTGTGGAGGTGCTGACAGCTTTCCCAGACACAGAAAATTCCACAACGCCATCTACCATCCCAATGGAGTCCACTTCTCCTGTGCCAACGCCTTTCAACTCCAATCAGTCAGAAAATGCTTCCATCTCTTCCTCTGACTTGCCACCAGAAGACCTGGAGACAGAGCAGTCTTTTTCTAAGGAAGTCCTATCTACTGACCTTCCAGACTGGTTACCTCCTGAGGATAGCACTGAATCAATGGAGTCGCCGGAAAATGACACAGCTTCCCTTTCTGCCTCTATTCTTTTGTCAGGCGATGGAGATTCCTCAGAGAGCGACAGCTCCGATTTCCCCAGAATCCTGAACCAAGGGCTCGACTATCAGTATGATGCTCCTGGATTTCTAGATTTGGTAAGTTTCAAGCAGTACATTCAAGGACAAAGCAGGCTACTGCTGTCTATACTCCAGCAGATCCTTTCCCATTAGACAGCATACTGGGATTATAGTTCATATCTATTGAGAAAGACCAGATAGGGATGCTGGAAGTTGAAGTTCAGAAAGTAATTTTTCCAAACTCTGGGAGTATCCTGTCTCTGGAGGAGCTATTGGCATATCAGTATGGGATGTGTTTCAGCTCCAGTTCAATTATGGAATTTTGATTATTTCGTTTTGCCTGTTCAGTTCTAAATATTATAAAACGTTGAATAAAATATTCAAAAAGAATATAGGGCTCGTTGACAAAAATTCAGGGGATGGAATTCTGTTTTTCTGCGTGAACCTATCTTGTACATAAACTGGCAACTGCAGTTTATGTACAAGCCCAATTCTGGTTTTTAATCACCATTTTTGATGAGTGGGATGGTGTCGCTACAATTCTGATCACTTTCAGTTCTTTTCTGCTTGTTTCCTTTTTATCTGGAGAGGCCCTGCTTGCGATCCCACCTGCATTGCAAGCGCGATTGGTGGGGACGAGGGAGAGGGCCTTCTCGGTGGTGGCCCCTCGACTCTGGAACTCACTCCCCAAGGACATCAGGCATGCCCCAATGCTGGCAGTCTTTAGAAGGAGCTTGAAAACGTGGTTGTTCCAGTGTGCCTTCCCAGAATAGGAAACTCCAAGCAATATGTCCCAAATGCACTTTACTAGAGATCTAGAATTGCCTGCACGCCCCACCTATCCCTAAAATACCTATCCTATTTCACCTGATCATGCCCAGCAGTTTTAAAGATTTTAAGTACTACATTTGGCCCTGCCACTGGTTTTAATGCGCCGCGGTGTTATTGTTTGTTTTTTTTGCTTTGTTTATGAGTTTTTTTATTATTGTACTGTTGTTGTTGTGTTTTACTGATGTATTTGGGCTCGGCCTCTTATAAGCCGCACCGAGTCCTTCGGGAGATGGTAGCGGGGTATAAATAAAGGTATTATTATTATTATTATTATTATTATTATTATTATTATTGGAGTGTTTTCTGCTCCCAACAGATTTGTAATCATTTCACAAAATTTGAAAGCTATTTTAAGGTAGAGAAGAATAATTTTCAACCAATTATAGTTTTTGTTGAAAAGATAGGGAGCCTCTGTGGGCTGACTGGCACCTATGAACACCACATTTCTCACCATTGACCTTGGAGCCAACACTGAAGTACATGGCAAAATATTTTATCTGTTCTAAAATTATCTGTTCTAAAATCTGGGATCTTGACACTATGTTCTGGGACAATTTTTCATCCATGCCAGATGAGGGATACATATCTGATTTGGTTTTTAGCTAATTCTCTTTGGTTGCGTGAGAAATGGAGAGAATTAAGTTTGGAAAATCTCACAGGCTTCTGTGTCTTTGTGGACTTTCAGAGTGAGGAGTTCAATTGGGGACCAGAAGCATGCCCTTGTGTGAGGGGAATTCAAGGGTCCTCTCTCATGCCGGTCAACGTACAAAGGAAGATAACACTGATCGGGAGAAACTTTCATCTCTATCAGGTAAGGCTTTGGTACCAGTGTCTGCTCAGGTATGACTGTGGAGAAACCCTCCTTTGAGGATGTTCATTGAAAAGCAATCTAACTTACTCATAATCACACAATAGCCTTGTGACTGTTTTTTCAGTGCTATGTGAATGAGTGGGACAAAATCCTGCAACATCTGTGAATCACTCCCCGAGCTAGTTGGTGACAGCGGGTAATTTCTCTGTCAGTGGGGTAGTGAATTTGTTACTCGGTTTTAAGCAAACTTGAAAACAGCTATTTAAGTTTGGAATGAGGTTCAGCCTCTTGTAGATCTCCTTTAAAGTTTGCATTGAAACCTTCCTCACCAACACTGACATGGAAGACACTAGTCTGCATTGGAGCTAGTAAAGTGTGGGATTTGTCTTGGATTAACATGACTTGGGCGTCTTCCACACAGTTTATAAAATCCACATTGAACTGGATTATATGGCAGAGTGGACTCAGATAACCCAGTTCAAAGCAGATATAGCAGATATTGTGGATTATCTGCCTTGATATTCTGGATGAAATAATAATAATAATAATAAGAAGAAGAAGAAGAAGAAGAAGAAGAAGAAGAAGAAGAAGAAGAAGAAGAAGCAGAAGAAGCAGAAGCAGAAGCAGAGCAGAAGCAGAAGAAGCAGCAGCAGACAGTCAAGGTGGTCCCAGTGGTGATTGGCACACTGGGTGCAGTGCCTAAAGACGTTGGCCTGCACTTAAACACAATCAGCACTGACAAAATTACCATCTGCCAGCTGCAGAAGGCCGCCTTACTGGGATCTGCACGCATTATTCACCAATACATCACAATACATCACCAATACATCACCAATACAATCCTAGACACTTGGGAAGTGTCTGACGTGTGATACAACCAGCAGAGTGTCTGCTGTGGACTCATCTTGTTGTGTTTCAAATAATAATAATAACACTTTAACACTTAATAATAATAATAATAATAATAATAATAATAATAACAACAACAATAACACTTTATTTATATTCTGTTTTTTCCACTTTTTTGACACTTTGGCACTTTAGTTGTGAATTGATGGCAGCTAGTTTTCACTACTGATGGTTTGCGTTTTTAAAATTATATTATTTTATTTTTATATGTGTTGACAGTGGGTTTTTTATAATTTTTATGTGATATTGTTTTATACTCATATACCATTTTGGTTATGCTGCACTTGGAGTGCCTTGTAAGCTGCCCTGAGTCCCTTTCGGGAGATGGTGGCAGGATTTAAATAAAGATCATCATCATCATCATCATCATCATCATCATCATCATCATCATCACCATCTCCCTGGAGGGACTCACAATTACAGTTCACATATAAGGCAAACATTCAATGCCTTTTTACACAACAAACAATGATACAATACACAGATAAGGTAAAGGCCTTCCTCTTTTCATCTCCGGCACCTGGAGGCAATGCTCAACCATGGGGAGGTGCTCTTGTTCCATTTTTTATGCTGAGGAGCTTGTTCTTCATAGACATCTCCAACTGAGTTGTTGTCATGTCTGCATGGGGCACCCTTTTACCTTGTTGCTGAGGCGGTACCAATTGATCTACTAGCATAACATGCTTTTGAACTGCTAGGTTGGCTAGGGCTGACAGTCTGGAGCTCACCCCAACATGCGACTTTGAACTGCTAACCCTCTGGTCAGCAGATTTCCTGCAGCTAGTGGTTTTAACCCTGCGCTACCACGGTTCTTTAATATGGCTGTGTGGAAGGGCCCCTGGATAATTGAATGCAATAACACTACAGTGCAGTACTGTGGGAAGGTGGAGATTTCCTTCCTTTGATTCAGCCCTCTATTTTTTCCTCTTCAAAGGATCAGCTTTGGGACTATGAATGTGCCTTGGTTCTGGAGGGGAAGACCTTGGTGATGGAGGCTTATATCGAACAGGATGAAAACAATCCATCCCTTTGCTATATCACCTGCCAGTTGCACCAGGTAAGGCCTTCATATGAAAGGGGCCTTCTTTTGAGATCCTACTAGCTCTGACCTTAACATGTGGCCAAAGAAAAGTACAGTAAGAGTCCCATATCTGTGGGACTTATATTCCTGGCTGGACCACTTTTACATTAAAACCATGAATATGACCAGATGTCCTCAAATTATCTCCTTTCTGGTCTCTTCAGACCAGTTGGATTGGAAGACCTAGAGCAGGGGTCCTCAAACTAAGGCCTGTGGGCTGGATGCTGCCCTCCAAGCTCATCTATCTGGCCCCTGCCCCAAACTTTAGACTTAGGTTTGCCATAAGTCTGAAATTGCTTGAAGGCACACAACAACAATCCTAATTAACTTGACTATTTTATCATCCATTGAAAGATGGATAAGTTTATGTTGGTGCAAATAGTTCATTTAAAATATTGTTTTGTCTTTTTTTTCTTTTTGCATTACAGATAAGTATGTGCAGTGTGTATATGAATCAGTTCATGTTTTCCCAAAATATAGTTCACCCCCCAAAAGTCTGAGGAACCGTGAACTGGCCCCCCACTTAAAAAGTTTGAGGACCTCTGACCTAGAGATTTTGCTTGCAGTTACTCATTAACTGTGATCCACAACCTTTATAACGAATGACAATATTTCACACCTCAGACTAGGCTCCAGATGTTGAACTGAATGCACAATGAAATGTGCTTGTTCATCTATGCACAACAGAACTTTCCCCAGATAAAATGTCCAGCCATTTCATAGGTGAACGTAGGTAGGTATAAGACACTCACAAATTTCCAGGCAATAGTTCTATGTGTACTTACATTTTTGCCCCTTCAAAGTTCTTCTGATTTTCAAGGCAATGTCATTATTTGCAGGAACAAAAAAACTAATATTGTTTCTGTTTCTTCTTTTTAAAAACATACCTGAATTTATGTTATTTTTTTCATTATGTCCCACTGTTCTCTAAGAACTGACGCCCATTTGGGTTAAGAAATTACTGATTCCTCTCAAAGACTGGTGTTTTGGTCTCTCTTTCAGTACAGCTACTCAGCCCCCCAACTTGAATTCAGCGCAGTGATATTTGTGCAAAGAAAGCGGCATCTCCGTGTGGACAGCATCGAAGACCTCCATGGTACAATATATATGGAGCTTTAATAGATTTCTTTTCAAAACCAAGATAGTTTATTACAGGCAAAACAGTTCCCAATTTATAAAGTAAGACCGGTTCATTAGTTTTAAGTCATTCTTATGCCCAGATGGAATGCCCTTCCCAAATGAATGAGGAGTGTGCTACACTTAATTTGGAATGTCATACTGATGAAAGGATGTTGACAGGCAAACCCTGACACCTCCTTCCTTCTTTTAAAAAGTGCATGAAGTTATTGTTAGAGCAAAGCATTAGCCATGGTTCAAGCTGATGAAGAATAACTAGAATGAAATCTCAGTCAAGGTCCTCTGGGTTTAGACTGAAGGAAGGAGGGAGACTCCAATGGCTCAGGATCCTATCCTGTTTATGCCCCTTGCTTCATCTCTGAAGTTTCCAGCACACATACCCCATTCCTTGATTTGATGAGAAAGCAGAGCCTGCGGTTAGTGTCTAAAAATAACCTTCACCATTCAAACTCGTGTTTTACCTTAAGTCTTGAACTATTCCTGGCCTTTGTTACAACATTTGGTTGTCTTGAGATCTTAATTTGGAGCAGACAAAGAGAGAGAATAAATGAACTCTTCTGTATTTGTTGCTTCAGCTAATATAACAACAACAACAACAACAACAACAACTTTATTTTTATACCCCACCGCCATCTCCCCAAGGGGACTCTGGGCAGCTTATATGGCCAGAAATCACAGATTAAAAACAGCAGCATTAAAATCAATCAGATAAAAACATAACACAGTCACATCAACAATATTAAAAACAATATCATCGCTGGAGAAACCAGAATCGGGCTGGGTCTGGGCTCGAGTAAATGCAAAAAATTCCTAAGTAGAGCCAAGGGAAAGTGCAAAATTCAAGTGTGCCAATCTAGAGAGAATACCTTGGCAATAAAGTGTCAAGATTAATGGGGTGGGCAAAACTAAAGTGCAGGAGCTTAGATAGGTTCAAGCCAGTTCTCTGGCTAGCCGAATTCTTGTTTTGAAATGATTGTACAACAGGATTCATCTTAAAATGTTTCCTCCTCTGCAGTGACACTCTACAATTGCTCCATGGGACACTTGGATTGCAGCCGCTGCCAAACCGCAGATGCCAAGTATAACTGTGTGTGGTGTGGAGGGGAGCAGCCCAGCTGCCTATTTCGGGACTCTTGCAAAGAAGAGGTCGCAGACGTGTGTCCAGCTCCTCTCATTCATGCTGTGAGTAACTGCCCAGTGCAGTGGAGGCCAGGTGGCTGGTGAAGGAATGCATAGGAATCCAAGATGTTTCCCAAATAGCCTGATGAGTCATTGGGCTGGCCACAATCATAGCAGAAAAGGCAGGAGAGCATAAAAATATTGCCAGGACACATATAGGAAGAGTTACTGTGGCTTTAATATTTAACTGGAAGATGGTGAAGTCCCCATAGAAGGAACAATGACACCTCTCCTCTCTCAGCCCCAAACCCAACTTTTAGATGATATGTGGCTATTTATGGCCAGTAATAATAACAATAAAAATGGATTCCAACAAGCAGAAAGGCAAACATTCAATGCCTTAATGACAACAAGTACAAATGTAATAATAACTATTTACTGGAAAATGGGAAATGAAGAGCAGTGTGGCATTGTGGCAGAGAGGTGTCCAGTTGTTTTTCTGTACAGCAGTAAGATCCTTCTCTGGGGTCTCCTAAGGACTCCTTGATGGTCATGAGGGTTGCCTGTTGCTACATGTCCAGGTACAACAGGAGTTCTCAAACTTTGGCTCTCCAGGTGTATTGGATATCAGTTCCCAGAATTGCTGGTGGTTAGCCAAACTGTCTGGGACTGATAGAAGTTACAATCCAAAACAGCTGGAACACCAAAGTTTGGAAACTACTGGGTTGTAGGAATGCAGCTTGACCACCAACCCTTAATTGGCCAGTAAATGTCCATGGAGTGGAAATCAGATGGAGAGAGAAGAGATAATAATTGAACTGGAAGAGTTAGAAGAGCCATCTAGTCCAACAGAGATTCTGTAATTTCTCCTGGTGAAGGTTTATGCAAACTATCAAAGCAGCAGGAGCTTCCCATCTGGAGGAGAGGTTGCTTTTTTCGGTTCTTCCTGATAGTTCATCTATTGGTTTGTTTTCTATTTGCTTGTTACATACATATGCCAGGAATATCCCCTCTCTCCTTCCTGCAATTTATCCTGATAGCAACCCTGTGGGGAGGCTCAGGGGTTGAGATACTCGTGAGAATTATTGTAATTGCCTGAAAGCCATCCAGTGAATTTTGTGGCTCAGCAGGGACTAGTGGTGTGTGTTTAATTTGTATTCTGGAAATGGAAGCCGATAGATACAAAACATTTCTACTCCATGCCATTAATAAAGAGTAAACCCATGAGTAAATGGTGGAAAATAGGTTCAGGAAAGGATCAAGCCCTTTCCTCACAGATTTGTCATGAGAAACATTTTGGACAACTAGTCAAGGAAACAAACAGTCCCCTGTGTGTTTTGAAAGGCATTTTCACAGTTGCAACCTTGAAGGGGAAAATCAATACAATTTCCCATTTTCAAAGAAGCGAAAGGGTTCCTCTGAAGAAGTGGGTGTTGAAGATGAACTTGGGGGAAGGGAGAAAAGAAGTATGCAGCTTAATGAATCAAGGACAAAGTGAGGGATGCAGGGGAGGGGGGTGGAGAACAAGAGTGAAAGGAGAAGGCATAAAGATAGAGATCTGTGCAAGCAATAAGCTTATGCAAAGCAGAGAGAGGAAGGAGGTAGAGGAAATAAAGAAAGGAGATAAAGCCAGAGCTGAGAGGGAGAACATTTAACAAGCAGATGACCTTGAGACCTGATAAGGCATGAGTATGAATTAACAGCAAACAAACAAGCAAAAAGAGGATCTTTTGACATCTTAAAAACTAGCAAAATTGAGTACAGGATATGTTTTTATGGACCAAACTCAATTTTATCAGATGTAGGGAGTTTTGTCTTCAGAAGTGGGCTTCCATCAAATAAAGCTTCTGTCACAGTCTTTAACATTTCCAAAAAACATTTACTGCTATTTCTGGAACAGATTAACAGGGCCACCAACCTGGAAACAATAAAGGAAACAATCAAATTGGATTCCATTGTGTATGTATATGCACATTCCTTGAACAATATTGGAACTCTGGGATGAAGTTTGCGAATGAAAGTCATCTTTCCAAGCTTTGTTTCCAGTCCAAACCAGAGAGGGCTAGGAAGGGATGGGATTTAAGAACAAGGAGAACTGCTTTGCTGGATGTAATAGTGAACTGCCAGCTACTGGCTCAATATTCTGTAAGCACAAGTCTGTTTCATAAACAAAAGCACAGTGATCATAATCAAAGCATGCAAAATATACTGGTTTGGACAGTAACTCCTGAAATGGGATGATGTTGCTCAGCCAGCACAGATACTGAAGGCTGTAGTCCAAAAAAGTAACTTTTCTGAGTTCTTGATACCCATTGGATGTAGATGATGGGAAATGTACCTAAAACTATGTCCAGAGTTCTATACAGGGAGTTCCCGGGTTGCAAAGAAGATAGACTATGTAGGTTTGTTCTTAAGTTGAATTTGTATGTAAGCTGAAACAGGCACAATTTAAGTGTAACTCCAGCCAAAAAACTGTTTTGTCGCTTGGGATGTACTGTTTGTTTTGCTGTCTATTCCTCCATTCAGAAGATTCACATCACTTTCTCTGTGATAACTGGATTTTGAAAATTTGGGGTTGTCGTGGAAATAAGGACTGATGATAAAGCTTCAGTGGAGACACCTTTTCCCCAGGATAACTCTTTCAGAAGTGAATTTCTCTTCCTGGGATAGAACTCCTATCTCCTCTTGTTGTCTCAATCCTGTTTGTAACTAGAAGTCAGCTGTTTGCAATTTGGGGGCTGCCTGCCTAAGTGCTAAATTTACACTACTTTGGCGTCCCTTTCAGGTTTATCCTTTAACCGGGCTGACAGAAGGTGGCACCAGAATCACCATCAGTGGCTCAAACCTTGGTCAGAAACATGAAGATATTGCAGAGAGAGTCACTGTGGCAGGAATCCCCTGTGAGGTTGACACTCTGGTTTATGAGATCTCCAGCAGGTAAATGCATATCCTTTGGGCTCATAGGAATAAACAAAGACTGTGCACTCCATTCTCCTGTGTTCAGCGGAGAGTGCAAATGTATGTCCAGAGACTTTGAAATAGGATCAGTCTTCCCAATTTGCAGATTAAACATTTAGAGATTCCATCATTTGTGAATTACTTTATTTCCTGTTACTCCGGCTGCTGCCCTACATGATTGTTAACAAAAACATTGATAACACTGGTATCATTGGGAGGAAATCACTTGCATGGTAGCTAGGGTCAGTTGCACACAAGTTCCCTTGGTCACTCATTGAAGTGGGAAGAGGAAGGGGATGGGAGGTATATTCACTCAAAAGGGGGTATATTCACTCATTCATGTACTTTCTTGAAGGCCAAAAGTAGTTGAGGCAGGAAAGAAAACTCCTTGTTTCTTTGATCTACAGTAGGCATGGGTAAACTTTGGCGCTCCAGGTGTTTTGGACTTTAACTCCCACAATTTCTTCCGACGTTTGCCCATACCTGGTCTACAGGCACATCTATAAGACAGAAATCCACAAAAATCTTTGATAATTATTGGTGATGGAAGCCACCAGTCAAGTCCCATCTACACTACCATATAGAATCCAGATTACCGCCTTTGAACTGGATTATATGGCAGTGTACACTCATATAATCCAGTTAAAAGCAGAAAAACTAGATTATATGATTTGATAATCTGAATTATATGGCCTCAGGGTGTAGACCCAGCCTCAGAAAAATAGGGAGGATTCTGGTAGTTGTGGAGTCTCCCAGATGTTTTTGGATGATGTCTTCCATCTTCTTTGACCACTGGTCGTGGGAACTACAGTCCTAGAACAAATGAAGAAGTAACAAAGTTTCCATGCTCTGGTTTCTAATATGGATTGTACAGATATAACTTATCCATGGGCAGCAGCATTACCTGGGATATACACAGAGACAATGTTGTGCAGTGATTTCAGAATTGGACCAGCACTGGGAAATCAGGGCTAAAACCCCCATTCAGCCATAGAAACAAGACTTTGGAGGAAATGAAAAAAAATTGCTTACCAACATGACTGTTCAGGTGGGTGGCAGCTCCTCCACAGTCAGGCCGACAGCTAAAAGTGCCCCCCCTCTCATTAACTCAGGTTTAGAGCAGACCATGTGGTGCAGCTTGGTGGGGGATTCTTCTCCATCCTCTCTTCTGCCCTTGTCCTGCAGTATCGTATGCACCACGGGCGGAAGCAGCACAGAGAGGTCCGGGCATGTGGTCGTGGAGGTTCCCGGAGGAGGACAGGGAGTCTCTGCTCACGTGTTCACATACCAGGTAAGCAGACTGCTTGTTGTCTGTCATACTTGGGCTGCAACTAAACTGCAGAACACAATAAGTAGAAACACTGCAGAACACAATATGATAAAGAATTGAAAGTTTGATGCACTGCAGGTTTCCCCAATACATTCAATACAAAAGGAGGGATCAAACTTGTTTCCAGCTGTTCTAGAAACTAGGATATGAAGCAATGCATTCAAATTGCAGGAAAAATATTCCATCTAAACATTAGAAAGAACTTCCTGATGGTAAGCACTGTTCAACAGTGGAATATACTGCCTTGAAGTGTGATGGAGTTGTTGGGTGAGTGGGCTTATTAACAAAAGACTCTCCCCAATGTATTGCAGAGTAACTTATTAGCAGAAGCGAGACCCAGCACCAGTAGCCCAAAGTGATAAAAAGAAGAAAACACACATAGACTAATGTTATCCCTTCCATAGGAGGCTTTTCTTTATAGAAAAATAATATGGTTGCACTGTTTACAAGAACAAGATTTCCATGACACAAATAAAGTTCAACTTTCACACTGGAGCTTCACACACGAGGCCTTCTTATATCAAGGCTTATCTCACACAGATGCTTCTCTCACAGACTAAGGCCTACCTTACACTGTGAGGCCTTTCTCCCACTGAGGTTTACCTCAGAATGAATGCTATTAAGCTACAGGCACATCTGAGGGGCTGTGGGTTCTTTGTTCCTGCTGCAGGATGCAGGAGCCGATTAGTACAACTCATAACTTTGTGTTTGCTCTCACATGACCACATAATTGCAACTCCTAGAGTAAACACAAAAGCAGATTTGTTTCCCATTGTTGCCTTGTGCTAGTTAACAGCTTTATATCAATTTAGGGGGAGCTACTAAATCTCCCTAAAATACATAAAAGTAAACCTTGAGGACATAAGAAAGCTTTGTTATGACAAAGGACACCACAGCAGCCAGACTTGTCGGTGGCTGAAGTCACCTTTTGTCTATACCAACTTTAAAATGCCACAGATTTGAAAGTAGACAAGAAAATTAACACAGTCCACTTGAGTGCCATTTTTGAACATTCATGCTCGCTTTGTTCTTCCATGCAGAACCCAGAGCTGAAATCCATCTCTCCATCCCGAGGTCCCAAGGCTGGAGGCACCAGCCTGACATTGAAGGGTACCAAGCTACTGACGGGAAATCCCAGCAAAATCAGCATTCTAATTGGAAATTTCCCTTGCTACATGTAAGAAGAAATTGTGATGTCAGAAAACATACGCTTTTCAATAGTTTTCAGTAACAGTGGTTGTGGATGCAGTGCTTGAACTCATGTTTTAATTAGGAGTTGCAAATGTTTTGCACTGTAACTCCAAATGTCTACCAGTGGTCATGGTAGCTGGTAAATTTTGGGAAATAGAGTTCAAGAAAGGACACTTTCACAAGTTATGGTCTTAATAGAACTTGATGGGACATTTCTTCCCTCCATGTGTTGTAGCACAGCAAGCATTCGAGGACATGTCAGAGGATGAGGGGGATGTTGGGTTTCAAAATGAGGAGTCTGTGTGATCAGAGAGAATTGCAGGCAGATGAGGCTGAGGCAGAGGAGGTCGATGTTTTGGATTCTAGTGCTGGTTCCCAAGCAACAGGGGAAAGCGAAAGTCCTTGGGTTGATGGGGAGTTTTCCCGGGAAACTAGATTAGGCCTGAGAATGGAGGGAGTAAAAAAAACTAGATATTCTCATAGAAACTGTGAGGAGACCTTGAAGTCCAGGTGTGTTCTCCAGGATGTCATGGGTACAAGAACAGGCTTAAATTAAGTAGTCTGGCTTTAAGCCTCTCAGAAAAGACAGTGTTGCTAAAGGAAGATTTTCCTGACTCTCCTCTCAAGTTCATGATTCAAGTTTCTTGTTCTGGATCATGTCTTGATTCCTGTATAGGTTTGATTCAGAAGAAGCTCCATTTTTTTTTTTTGGTGTATAGATTCATGTTTGAATAACTGCTGTGGATTCTGCTTCTCTTGACTTTATGTACTTTGTCATTTTTGTATTTCCTATTTTTGAATTACTACTATTTTGTATTTTCTATTCTACTGACTCTTTTGGAAATGCCCGTTTTCCCCTTTGTACCCGCTTTCCTTAATACACCTTTCTAGATAGTATTACTGGACTCTCATGTGGTGCTGAGTGGAAAGGTGTTCCAGTATTAGAGTGCAACACCATATCCTCAAAGCATTGTGTCCTGTACTGGGGACAATGCCATTTTAAAAATAAAATTAAACTCTACATTACCAATATAGATTACTTTTATGGTATATCTCACTGTTTTACCAAATGGCAGGGCACCATGGGGGGTATCTGAGAAGGGCAGCTCAACCTAGAATTGGACCACAATGCACAGAATCTGCAAGTTTACTGTATTTTTTTTATTGTGAGCTGCTTTTGGTCTCGGTCTTGAGGAATAAAGCAGGATAGAAATAGAAACAACAACTAGGCATGACCTGGTTGCCTGCATACCCAAGATCTCATGAGGGGAGCCTCTGTACTAATTATGATGAGGGCTTCAGCTAGAATCCAGCTTCCATTCCAAAACTATCCAGTTATAAGCAGTTAAAATATATTACCACTAATGAAACACCTATGCAAAAACCCAAACCCTGAAAGAAAGTGGATAGTTGTGACTTCCTATAACTGTTTTTACTTCATTTTCTTCCTTTTTGCAAAGTTGTTTAGAAGAGAGGTTGAGTAAATTATGTTTAGGACTCCCAGAATGCCCAGGGAAATGTAGTCCAACTGTTCCGGTGCTCTGGTTGAGTAGGCATTTTCTAGAAAAGCAATTGGTAGTTTCATGCCTAAATTAAAACCCTCTTGTTTATCCTCCCAGTCTTTCTGACATGCAGGAGGACACACTGCAGTGCCTCACAAGTCCCAGCAATGCATCTGTGCCACTTCAGGTCACAATCAAATATGGAGATCAAGAACGGAAATTGGAGCATTCTCTCTTCAAGTATACTCCTGACCCCAACATCACATATGCAGAACCAGCCAAGAGTTTCCAGAGGTAACAAGAGACTTTGATAATTGTAAGGAGAGGTATTACATTGAAAGTGGGGAATCAATTGCCTTCCTCGACCAGAAGTCATGTAACACCCGATCACTGGCCATGATGGTTCATGCTGGAGCCAAATAGCATATAGAGCAGTGGTTCTCAACCTGTGGGTTCCCAGGTGTTTTGGCCTACAACTCCCAGGAATTCTAGCCAGTTTACCAGCTGTCAAGTTTTCTGGAAGCTGAAGGCCAAAACATCTGGGGACCTACAGGTTGAGAACCACTGATACAGATTCTTCAGCTGAGCTTGTACTTAGGACATCCTTGCACATCAATTCAAGGACATAGCTATGTAACTCTGCATCAGGATAAAAAGAGATCTTGTAGTGCCTTAGACGATACCTGATACAAAAAAAAAGATTGTAGTGTATGCTTTCATAATGCCAAGTCTACTTTATCCAGGTCTTTTAGACCTAGCAGACACTACAAAAGTTTATGCTTCATTCTCCCAAGTAGTCTCAAATCCCTTGGCTAAAGCATACATAGACTTCTGTTTAGGTCTGAAAACTATTGTTGCTCCTGTGAGAGAAAGAAAAGTTTCAACATTCAAAGAAAAGAGGCAGAAAAAGTTACTAATTGAAAACAAACACAGAAAATATTGGTGTGAATTGTTTTCAATACCTTTTATTCTTATTTGGGGAGCAATACCCTCATTTAACTTGCTCTAGGATCTAGGAAAGCTGACTCAATATTGGGTTGTTGTAGGTCAGTGGTTCTCAACCTGGGGTCCCCAGATGTTTTTGGCCTACAATTCCCAGAAATCCTAACAGCTGGTAAACTGGCTGGGATTTCTGGGAGTTGTAGGCCAAAAACATCTGGGGACCCAAGGTTGAGAAGCACTGTTGTAGGTTTTTCGGGCTGTATGGCCATGTTCTAAAAGCATTCTCTTCTGATGTTTCGCCTGCATCTATGGCAGGCATCCTCACAGGTTGTGACCTCACAACTTCTGAGGGTACCTGCCATAGATGCAGGCAAAACGTCAGGAGTGAATGCTTCTAGAACATGGCTATATCGCCTGAAAAACCTACAACAGCCCAGTGATTCCAGCCATGGAAGCCTTCGACAATCCATTGACTCAATGCTGTTAATCAGTTTAATTCAATATTGCCCACATTCGTTTTTTCAAGCCTGGTGCCTTCTCAATTGTTTCAAATTTCAATCTCATTATCCTTAAAACAGTGGCTCTCAACCTGTGCGTCCCCAGATATTTTGGCCTTCAACTCCCAGAAACCCTAACAGCTGGTAAACTGGTTGGGATTTCTGGGAGTTGTAGGCCAAAACATCTGGGGATCCACAGCTTGACAACCAATGCCTTAGATAGTCATTGCCTGGAGATGGTGAGAGGGTGGAGGACATCAGCTTGGGAAAGCTGGCTGACACTGGCCAGTAGCAGCTCTCCACAGTTTCAATCTGCAGTGTATGTTCCCAAACCTATATGAGAATGCTCTGGAATGAACATGGGCCTTTTTGAATGCAGAGTACTTATGCTCCACTACTCAGTCAAGGGCCTTGCATTCAAAAGGAAAGCCCCGAAGCATGGAATGCCAAGCTTAATCGATTGCAGTGTCCAAAATGCATGTGTGTGCTTTCAGCGGAGGAAGAGAAATCCGGGTTCATGGGCATAACCTTGACGTTGTGCAGCAGCCCAGGATCCAGGTCACGGTTTCACCATTGGAGCGCCGACGCCGGGGCCTTGGGAGATGGCGTCGAATTATTCCCGATACAGAATGCCTGGAAAATGCCCTCTGCAGCATTCAACAGGTAAGTCATCCAAGCTGTTAATGAATGCATGTATCTTGTGCCAGCCTGTGGCCAAGATCCTATGTCACCAAGTGTAGCATTAAAACATCACAGACAGACCTATGCCAGAAAGGCCCCCTGGTAGCACAGCGGGTTAAACCGCTGAGCTGCTGAACTTGCTGACCAAAGGTTTGGCGGTTCAGATCTGGGGAGTGGGGTGAGCTCCTGTTGTTAGTCCCAGCTTCTGCCAACTTAGCAGTCCAAAAACATGCAAATGTGAGTAGATCAATAGGTACCGCTTCTTCGGGAAGGTAACAGTGCTCCATCCAGTCATGCCAGCTACATGACCTTGGAAGCATCTATGGATGCTGGCTCTTCGACTTAGAAATGGAGATGAGCACCACCCCTCACAGTCAGAAATGACTAGACTTAATGTCAGGGGAAACCTTTATCTTCTTACCTATGCCACACTGTTTCATTGCTGAAGCTTTGCTCTCCTCATCTCTGTAGTGGAGAAATCAGAGAAAGGTTTGGTTCCATTCTTATAGCCAAATGCAGAGCATTTACATCATCTGCTAAAATTGACCAGGACTCTCAGAACAGCCCTCTCCTCACTCAATGGCCACGGAGGGAAGGCTATATTAATAAAATAATGAGTAATGGGCAGTGGGTAAGTGAGCTCTTTGATAATTTCAGAAGAAGGAAGGAGATATCATCTTCCATCATTTACCAAGGGCCACCCCAAAGGGTCCTAAGAGTGGAAACCTAACAAGCAGAACATAGCCATTTACGTCTCTTCATTTCTGATCCTAGTTTGAAGAGCCCTGTGAGGTCAACTCCTCCCATCTCATCCTGTGCAAAACACCCGGCATTCAACAGCTGCCCCATTCCATCCAAGTAAAACTGGAATTTGTCCTGGATAATCTCATCTTTGACTTCAACTCCTTCCATCCAAGTGGCTTCTCCTATGAGGTGGATCCCATCTTGAAGCCACTCAACACAGAGGACCAAAGCAAACCCTATCGTCACAAACCTGGAAGCGTCATCTCTGTGGAGGTAAATGAAGCACCTGTTTTCCAGTAAATAGTAGGCCTCCAAATGAAATTTCCTTTTGGTCTCCAAATTTCTAGCATTATACAAACTGATACAGAGAAAATAACAGAGAACTCTTCTATTTTGTTTGTTTGCCTGTCCCTTTATTTAGTTGCCAAAACTCAGGTAAAGTTCTAAGTAACTCCAATGCTAAGAATTTGGAAAATGGTGGAAAATTTGACTTGGGGAAATAATTCTTATTTAAGGGCCATGTTGTCATTCCCCTGCCTGCTTCACCAGCTACAGCCCTGCATTGATTTACCATGGCTAGATCTTTTCTCCCATACATTGCTCTGGTGTGCTATTGTAAGATAGGAGCAGGGAACCTGTTGATTCCCCTGATCCACCAGTGTTTCTAGACTACAACTTCTATCACTTCAAATTATTGAGTGTGTTGGCTTGTGCTGCTGGGAATTGGAGTCCAGCAGTGTCTTCAGTTCTGTCCATGTCAGAGGCTACATCTTGCAGCAACCAATGCCTTCAATATTTAGTATACCAACGCTGTAGGGCACATGTATCAAACTCAAGGCCAGTGGGCCAGTCCAGGTGTTGGACTGTTGTTGTTCATTTGTTCAGTCGTCTCCGACTCTTCGTGACCTCATGGACCTGCCCACGCCAGAGCTCCCTGTCAGCCGTCACCACCCCCAGCTCCTTCAAGGTCAGTCCAGTCACTTCAAGGATGCCATCCATCCATCTTGCCCTTGGTCGGCCCCTCTTCCTTTTGCCTTACACTTTCCCCAGCATAATTGTCTTCTCTAGGCTTTGCTGTCTCCTCATGATGTGGCCAAAGTACTTCAACTTTGTCTCTAGTATCCTTCCCTCCAATTAGCAGTCCTGTATTCCTCATCCTTATACATCATGACTAGAGCTGATTGGAGTTGTCCTACATTAACATTTGCAAGGCTGCAGTATAGTTCTTTGTCAAGCATTGTTTTGATGGAGTTTCAATGCTGCTGTTTTATTTTCTTATGTTGTATTTAATTGTGCTTTTATCTGGATTGTTATATTTTACTATGTTTTTATTTTATTGTATTTTTGTTTTAATGGATTGTTTTGCCTTTATGTCTCGTGGAATTTCTGTCCCATATGTCCCCGAGTCATGGTGGTAGGGTATAAGAATATATTTATTATTATTATTATTATTATTATTATTATTATTATTTTATTGACACAAAAACACAGTGTGTCATAGCAAATGAGATCTATATGCTGGATTTCATATCACAGAATCACAAGTCGAACACTTCCCAAGTGTCTAAGGCTGTGTGATGTATTTTTGAATGATGCGCATAGATCCAAGTAAGGTGGCCTTTTGCAGTTGACAGATCATGATTTTGTCAATGTTTATGGTTTCCAAATACTGGCTGAGATCTTTTGGCACGGCACCCAGTGCACCAATTACCACTGGGACCACCTGTACTGGTTTATGCCAGAGCCTTTGCAGTTCAATTTTGAGATCCTGATATTGGCTGAGTTTTTCCTGTTGTTTTTCCTCAATGCGACTATCACCTGGTATGGCAACATCAATAATCCAAACTTTTTTATTTTCCACAATCATAGAATCATAGAATCAAAGAGTTGGAAGAGACCTCATGGGCCATCCAGTCCAACCCCCTGCCAAGAAGCAGGAATATTGCATTCAAATCACCCCTGACAAATGGCCATCCAGCCTCTGCTTAAAAGCTTCCAAAGAAGGAGCCTCCACCACACTCCGGGGCTCATGATGTCTGGTGTATTGTGTTCCAAAACATTGTCAGTCTGGATTCGAAAGTCCCACAGTACTTTTGTGTGTTCATTTTCCACTACATTTGTAGGCTTATGATCCCACCAGTACTTTACTACTGGCAGGTGGTACTTGTGACATAGGTTCCAATGAATCATTTGGGCCATAGAGTTGTGCCTCTGTAGTCTGTCTGTGTGATTTTCTTGTAGCAGCTGAGGATATGATCAATGGTTTCATCAGCTTCCTTGCACAGTCTGCATTTTGGGTCATCAGCTGATATTTTGATCCTGGCCATAATGGCCTTTGTTCTGGGCTGATTTTTCGATCCTGGTTTTAATTGCATTTGTCCTGATGGCTTGCTTCATCATTATTATGGATGGTTATTGTTGTTAACTGTTTAATGTGTTTATGATGTTAATTGTTTTTATATACCGTGTTGTTGTAGCATTGAATTTTTTGCTGTTCTTGTTGTTAACCGCTGTGAGTCGCCTAAGGGCTGAGAACAGCGGTATACAAATAAAGTAAATAAATAAATAAATAAATAAATATTATTATTTAATTAGTCAAGAGAGTGGGGTTTGAATTTAAATACAAAGGTTGTGGATTTTATGTCTGACTTGAAAATGTCCTTTAATCTTTCCCCAACCTCAGAGGCACAACTGCTTTTGGGTTGCAATTCCCATCATCCCCCGTCTGCATAGCGGATAATCAAAAGTGATGGGAGTTGTTGTTCAATAACATCTGGGGACCAACATTGGGTAAAACTGTAAATAAAATGTAGTTGGCCCTCTGTAATCCACCAATTCTTCATCCTTGGATTCAACAGCCATAAGGCTGATGTGGCTCTCAATGAAAAGTTTACAGCCCTGCTACAGTAGAAGAAGCAGGGAAGCAATTTGGATTTTTTTTTTAAGGAAAAGTCTTTTAATAGAGTGCTATACCATTTTAAAATGTTATATATGTGTGTGTGTGTTTAATTGTTTAAATATTGTTGAGAGTTTAATTCCATTTCTTTCTTTTTTTATTTATAAGTTGCTTTGGAAAGACAGTGGAAAATGCATAAAGCTGACAGTGATGGAGATAAAAGCATTAATAATTTATTTCTCTCCAATGTCCCCATAACATTATTAATGGAAACTTCCAAAGGCCTCACTCAAATGTATTCACTTTCTTGACTCTCTAAAATATCCCAGGGCAAAACAATCTAGAGATATAGGCAGAACAATGCAAGCTCCCTCTCTTTTCACATTTGGCACGATTCCTGTTACATATTCTGGTTACAGATGTCAGGCTTTCCATCTGGCAGCACTGACATTTCCTTGCCACAGCCTTTGTAATAATGTAGAGTTTGTTATCTTATACCAGTCACAAGACATTTTAAGTTGCAGTCCCTTCCTTCCATACCATCTGTTTGCAACAGCACTTAAGGTTAATAGCATTTCATTAGGAAATGGCAGAGAACTAATGGGACACAGGAACCACAGATGGCATGATGAAATATCTATGAAACTATGTTTGTATATATTTTTAAAAGATAGGAAAAGAGGAAATCATTTTCTGGGTTACAGGCATTGCAATGCAAATGCGTTTTCAAATGCACACATTTTAGACCAGCCCTTCTTCACTGTAGACGTGCAAAATCTCTTAATTCCTTTGCTCCTGGAATTTTCTCTGCATTGGTTACAAGTGATAGAAGAAGTACCAAGCAGCAAGAGAGCAATAATCTCAAATAAACAGCTATGAGGAATATTCCCATGTCTCTACATTAATGCCTAAACCATGGGAAATAAACAAGATGAACTGGAAGAGGGGGATTAGAAAGATTCCAAGTTGAAGCAGGGCAAAGGAAGATCCCCCCCCCCAACCCACCCCCAATCAGCCATCTTCTGCCCCATAAGATATGGAGTGACTCACTGGTTTCCAGCTGAGGCAGGTGTCAAAACACACTGGGAAGGGGGAAAGATGAGGCTCAGTTATCACAGCTTAAATCACAGGGGTATTTCAAGTGAACGTTGTCATAGTGATTGGTGGTTTGAAGTACTCAGCTGGTAAATGTGCCTTTTTTGTTGGTTTGCAAAATAGAGTAACCCTATTTGAGCTAAAAATACTGCTTCAGTCCCAGAAATTTCTGGTCGAACAACTGGTTCTGTTACTGATGTTATTTTCTTCTATAGTACCATTAACGTTCATAGTAAAGGTAAAGGTTTCCCCCTGACATTAAGTCCTATCGCGTCCGACTCTGAGGGTTGGTGCTCATCTCCATTTTTAAGCTGAAGAGCCAGCGTGTCCATAAACACCTCCATGGTCATGTGGCCAGCATGACTTCATGGAACGCTGTTGCCTTCCCGCTGGAGCGGTACCTATTGATCTACTCACATTTGCATGTTTTCAAACTGCTAGGTTGGCAGAAGCTGGGCCTAACAGTGAGCGCTCGCTCACTCACCCTGCTCCCTGGAATCGAATCTTCGATCTTTCAGTCAGCAAGTTCAGCATCTCAGAGTTTTAACCCACTGTGCCACCAGGAGCTCTGAATGTTCATACTGAACAATAATAAAGAAAATAATAAAATAAATAATAAAACAGGCAAGTGAACCTGCCGAAGGTATACAATCCAGTCATTAAGGTATGCAATCCAGTCATTCTGGCCCGACCTATCTGTCCGAACGCATCTCCTCCTATGAACCAGTTAGGACGTTAAGATCGTCTGGGGAGGCCCTGCTCTCAGTCCCGCCGGCCTCACAAGCACGCCTGGCGGGGACGAGAGACAGGGCCTTCTCAGTAATGGCCCCCAGGCTGTGGAACACCCTTCCTACAGACATTAGATCCGCCCCCTCCTTACTGGCATTCAGGAAGAGAGTGAAGACCTGGCTCTTCGAACAGGCTTTAAACTAAGCAGTGCAATTGATTGATTACTGGAATATGGATTAATGGACAACGATATGATGGCGGCATGGTAAGCAGCGAACCTTCTTCTTGGGGAAAGAGAGGGACCACAATCTACCTTAACCTGTCTTAATCCCCCCTTCTGGACTCCCAAAAACTGCCCCCCACACAAACAGTAATCCCAGGGTCACGAAAGTGGTCTTGGAGACCTGAATTGGGGAGCACCGGAGAAGGAAGGTTGAACAAACGGGGAAGGAGGAAAGAAGAAAGACAACTGGGCCGCCGCCATTGTCGGCCCCAAACACTCTACCTCCTTGCTATTGGACCCTTTCTGGACCCCTTACACCCTCCAGTCTCC